GTGATCATTCACAGATTTCACATGTAGTTCAGCAATGATGTCAGAAGTGACATCTTGCTTACTACTCTGCATGTGATCACTGATTGGCCAATCAGTGATCACATGATCGGGACGTTGTACAGAGGTCCTGTACGATGATCAGTGTTCCACTGTGTCCGGAGGACACAGCGGGCACGGGATCACGGTGCTGCGTGCTCCCAGGGAGCGCGCACAAGCAGGGGGCGGGGAGGCCATTTATAAAATGGCCACCTGACCCTGCACTGCCACCGTCCGGCCATTTATATACGGCTGGATGGGAGGTGGTTAAAAAAGCAAATATAGCATACCTTCCTGTCTATCTACTAATGTTAGCAGCATAAGGATTAAACATAGTTAATGCTGACAGAAAGTTTGGCTCTACATTTTGTAAGCTCGAAAGAACTGAAGATATGTAAGGTTTATGTAGCTGTTTTCTTAGAGTTTGGGGGCAGGGGTGGTATTTTGCTTTAGATAACAAATCCAACGGAAGAGCACAGCAGTTTGGCATTCCTTAATGCCAAACCAGTTGAAATGGATTTGCTCAAGTCCTGCTTTATTATAGAAGTCTGCACATATTTTACCATATCCTTGTTATTTGAATATTTAAAGAATATGTAAACCCAACATTTCCTATTCCTGATATTTATGTATTGTACAATGTGTTGTACTTGTATGGAAAAGTGTTCTGTTCTCTTTGTTTTGCTTACTTTGTGTGAAATCCCTGGGGTTCCTACCAGTCCCTCTACTTTCATATTACAAACTGAACACACTAAGCAGGAGAACACACCATGGTCAGTTCCCTAGCTGTGTTGGGAACTGAGCCTGCTCTCTTCCAATGATCAGACTTGTCTTGGCAAACCCCCCTGCACAGCCTTTCACTGGGAAGCTCAGTGAACTGAAGTTTCTCCTCCCCCAGCTCTTATGTCCCTGAGAACAGAGGGAATGTGGTCACTTAAAAATGAAAAAAAGGTATTTACAATGTTTTTTTTATATATATGTATGGAAATGTTTTGCCTTTCATTTCTATTTTAAACTGAATGGGTTGTTTTACAAGGTGAGGGTTTACAATCACTTTAAAGCTTGTACCAAATAATATTGTTCAGTGTATATTTAAATGCAGCTAGTGTATGTTCTTAGGTCTCTCTTAAGATTAGCCTCCTGCAACAGCATTCAGGCTGGAATAGGAAGGTCTAGTATTGCCAGCCAATCAGTATGCTGGGGTTGTGTTGTTTACCAGACTGTGCTGCTCCTGCAGTAGATATCATGGCCCTGGGCATAATGCTTAGAATCTAAAACTGGATGCACAGGATTAGAAATCTTTTGGCAGATAATACAATCCCAGATATGTATTGTAATAGCAATTTGTATTCAACTGATTACTTGGAGTTCATCTTGAATATTGTTTACAAAATGTTTGCAGAGCAGTATGGATGGGATGAATGTTCCCCCAACATTTTTCTGTTTGCTTTCAGGGTGAAATTCATAGAGTGAAGGCAGACGGGACAAACAGAACAGTTTTTGCTCCAGCAGTTGTCATGGGAACTCCTATTGGCTTGGCCTTAGACTGGATTTCTGGAAATTTATATTACACAAATCCTGCAACGCAGTCAATTGAGGTAAAACTATACAATACAAAAAATTAAAAAAAATAATAGTGTACTATCAGAGCTAGTATTACATGGTGGAAAATTAAAATATAAGCAATTCTATATTCCCTCTATGCATGTAAAATGTATAGCGTTAACATGTGTTCTTCCCTTGTCTTAACACTGGATAACTTTTCCCCTTGTTAAAAAAGATCACTTATAGACAATATGACTACAAGTGCATTATGTTGGTTACAGTTAACAAAAATCTAGTGGAAAAGTTGTTAACATGAGATCCTGCAATCAAAAATTGGTTTGTCCTTTTGCTATAGTAAGTAAAGGCTATATCTTCTTTTTGTTATCTTAGGTTTTAAAACTACGTGGAGAAATAAAATATAGAAAGACTCTTATTACAAATAATGGTAATGCTACTGGAGCTGGATATCCCATTGGAATCACTGTTGACCCAGCCAGAGGGTAAGCTATATAGAAAACCACAAATCATCAAACAAGCTTCACACCATTTACTTTTTGTCTCTTTTATAATGTACATACTTGATTTTGCAGACAGGCTAATTGATGTTTGCATAGATGCTAACTGTTCTGGATCTGCGAGACATTCAGGCATCTTGGACCTTAGCAGCATAGATGTGATGTTTTGGTTAGTGTCCAGGATAACCGCATCACCCTTATTTAAATTACTGCACATGCACTGTAACGCAATAAGGCATTCATTATGTTGATCAAGGACTATGGGTGGACGGTCCCTGGATAAATTGAGGTGGGGTTGGGTATGTCATTCTGATAAGTGAGCAGGGTCTAGGCAGGAGCACCCGGTCAGTGACTGGGCCTGAGATAGCCTGTAAGAAGGATCTGGGTCACTAGATGGGCCTAAGGCAGGGTTTACTGTGTCCAGGGGACTGGGACTGAAATGTTGTTAAGTATACACTTTCACTAGTGGATGTAAAAGCATTGACTGCACTGAGAAAGAAGATGTGTCCCTGTTGGAGACGTTTCCCCTCACTTCCTGCCCTTTTGATCACTGACACCAGAACAGAAGGTGAAGGTAAATCTCTCCCTTGGGGACAGGATCTGACTCTTCTCCGCTCTGTTTAAAATGAAAGTAATTCTGTTTAATGTAACCAGCACTGGTTATATATTTATTTGAACTGGAATTAGAAGCTAGTATTATATAGTGTGGCAAAAAGTGAATTTCAATTGTTTTCTCTTTCTACTTCTTATTTTATCATTTTGTTGTTCATCTTATTTTGTAATATTGTTCTTCTTTTGTTCTTATTTTATCATTTTGTTGTTCTTTTGTTATTGTTTTATCATTTTGTTTTTCATCTTATTTTATAATGTTGTTCTTATTTATCATTTTGATGTTCTTCTTTTATTCTTCTTATTTTATCATTTTGTTGTTTTTTTATTTTATAATATTGTCAGAGCCATCTTTAATATTGATTGGACCCTGGGCAAACGTTTTCTTGCCCCCCCCCCCATGAAAGTTTGCTCTCTACCTGCTCTGAGACATGCAATAAATAGCAGCCAAACTCATAATCGGTTTACTGCAGCAGATCAGGCAGCAATTGCAATTGATTGCCAGAGGCTATAGCATATCATTACCGCCCACTGACTGGTTGCTAGAGGTTACAGCACACATTACAGCTCATTGTTTAGTTGCTAGAAATTACAGCACATGATTTCTGCTTGCTGATTGGTTGCTAGCAGTTACTGCTCATCATTACTGCTCACTGATTGGTTGCTAGAAGTCTCTGCACATCCTTACCGCTCACTGATTGGCTGCTAGAGGTTACTGCACATCATTACTGGTCACTGGTTGGTTGCTAGAGGTTACTGCACATTATTACCGCTCATTGATTGATTGTTAGAGGTTACTGCACATCATTACTGCTCATTCATTGGTTGCTAGAGGTTACTGCACATTCTTACCACTCACTGACCATTGGTTGCTAGAGGTTACTGCACATCCTTACTACTCATTGACTGGTTGCTAGAGGTTACAGAACTTAATTACGTCTCACTGATTGGTTGCTGAAGGTTACAGCACCTCATTGCTTGCACAACATGGACTGAGAAGGTTATGGGACCCACAAATAGACGGAAAACTCCTACGACTCCTGGTATCAATGGCAGTGCTGGGCAGGAGGGTGTGATCAGTGGCAGTGCTGGGAAGAGGGTTGATGGGATAAGTGGCAATGGTGGGGAGGATAGGATCAGTGGCAGTGCTGGGGGGATGGGATGAGTGACAGTGCGGATGGGAGGGATGGCAGTGCTTGGGGTGGATGGGATCAATGGCAGTGCTGGATGGAGATGGGAGATGACATTTCTACACCGACCACCAATGTTAGGGGGGATTAAAACTGATGACCAATGTAACAGGGATTTACACTGACAACCAGTATAAGGGCAATTCTGCACTGACCACAAATGTAAAAGGAAATTTACACTGGCCACCATTGTAATGGGGAATTTACACTGACATCCAGTGTAATGTTGGATTTTACACCAACAACCAATAAATTTCTACACTGGCCACCAGCAGAGGTCTTGGTGGCTGAACCTCGGGGAGGGGGGGGGCATAATATACATATGAATACCACACTGCTGTAGGTATTCTGCTGGTTATTTACATGTGAATGCTGACACTATCTGCACACCTGAGTCATCTGTACTTGGCAATAGGACAGAGCTGTGCAGCATAAATGACAGCATTTCACACTGAGCTATCAGACAGACACAGTCTGGGACAAAGACTTCCAGTGACAAAGGGAAAGTAAACCAGTACAGTTGGCAAGTATGGGATAGCTGCTTTGGGCCCCACAACAATGACTGGGCCCAGGGCAGCTTCCCCATTTGCCTCTCAGTAAAGACGGCCCTAAATATTTTTTATTCTCCATTTGTTTTTACTTATTTTTTCATTTTTTGAGCTAGCCTAGTGCTTGGCCATAGTACCTGCCAACAGTTACCAAACCTACAGTTAAAAAAGTATAGATGGTTCTATATTCTACACTCTGTTACAAATATGCTGACATTTTTAAAGAATAAACCCCTCTCTGGTTTAATAAAAATTACACATGATCACCAAGCTGCAACATGTTCTAATTGCCCAATCTATGTTCTGAACTCTTTGTGTTTGGAAGATATATTTCCAGAATGTGGAAAATATAGACTGATAATGAATTGTGTTATAAGATTTAATTTACCTTTTTGGTAAAGTATATTCTAAATAAGCATTTTATTTGTAGAAAGATGTATTGGACAGATCACGGCACTGAAAGTGGCGTGCCACCGAAAATTGCCAGTGCTCACATGGATGGCTCCAATCCAACTATCCTGTACACCACCAATCTGGACCATGTGGAGTTTATAACAATAGACATTGCTGAGCAAAAACTTTTCTGGGCAGTGACTGGCAGTGGAGTGGTAATTATGTCTACATATTTCATTAGCAGTGTTGTCATACTATATAGTGCTGGGAGTGTGGAGCAACAAGAAGGGCCTGAGGTTTGACGGAACATGAAAGAAGTTAAAATGTCCCTATCCCCAACTTGTCTATAACAATAAAGCTTTAATACTTGAGTGCTTTAAAGTGGTTGTAAAGGCTGAAGGTTTTTTACCTTCATGCAATCTATGCTTGATGGTAAAAAACCTTCTATGTGCAGCAGTGCCCCCAGCCCCCTCAATACTTACCTTAGCCTCATCACGATCCAGTGATGTGAATTACAGCCTCGGCTGTTCCAGGTCTCTGCCTCCCCACTGACTGCTATCACAGCCAGTCAGCCAATGAGGAGAGAGGGGGTGGGGCCAAGCCACGGCTCCGTGTGTGAATGGACACATGTAGCAGCGGGTACCCCCATAGCAAGCTGCTTGCTGTGGGGGCACCTGACAGACAGGAGGAGCCAGGAGAGCCTGCTCTGTGTAAAACCACTTCACTCAGCAGGTAAGTATAGACATGTTTGTTATTTAAAAAAAAACAAAAATGAACCTTTAGAATAGCTTTAATACTCCTTGTGTCCCTACCTGAATCCTTAAAGTATATCAGAATACAAGAAAAAAATGTAATATATGGCAGCTTACCAGTCCTTAGATGTGATGGCTGTGTTAGCTTTCTTTTATGTGGACTTTTTCACTTATTTTCACCTGGTAATTCTGCCAGTAACACTTCTGGTCCTGGGGTGATAACGCTTACTCACCATATTGAATCTATTGAGGAACAGTGTAGTCTTCCCAAGACAGGTTATATGTCCCTCCTCTTCTCTACTCCATAACATAGTGGGCTGTTCTGTAGTCCACAGAGATAGCTGGGAAAAATGTAACTTAAGAGGGCTGCACAAGCAGAGAGCACAGGAAGTTATCAGCTCACAAAATTTCTGGTGAGATCAACAATTTTGTAACACCTATGGAAAAGATATAACATGCCACTTTCAACTGTATCAAACCAAAAGGGAAGAAAATTAGAAAAAAAAGTAAAAGAGGATCATAGGAAGTTAGTATTTATCCTCAGCTTCATCAAGTGGCCATAATGCAGTAGTTTCCTAATTTGACCTACAGATAAATAGTCCAGTAACATTTGTTTTGCCTCCAATTCACAAATTACGAATATACATTGTACGTGCAGTTTCACAAGTTGAATAGCTCTGCAAATTTTCTGTTAATTCACCCCTTAACTTAACCCCTAAAATGACCCCTTAACTAGGAGGACCCTAAGTTGAAGTTAGAAGGGTAAGCCTCTCCCTTTGTGGCCTATAATGCCCTCCACGGGAAGCAAGAGCTCAGTTTTAGCTTAGTGTCCTATGTGATAGTATTTCTTACAACTTTTCTCTCCCTAAGAAAATACATTTTTAATTGTTTGTTTTCCCTTCTTTTTGTCCTGGGTCTCTGTCCCAACTGAGAAAAAGAAAGAGAAGCATTAGCTAGAAACATTTAAAGGAGATCTGTAAAAAAAAGAAATATGACATCCATTTAGGTAGTTAACTTGAGGGACATATATTTTCGTTCTTACCCTGTTACTAATCTTTTATTATTATATTATTATTATTCTACAGAATTTATATAGTGCCAATAGTTTACGCAGAGCTAGGGCTAGTTATTGAACTAATAGGTCCTACCTAAGAGCTTTAAGGATTTCCTGTGTAAATTTTGATTGAACAGAATTATAACTGATCTTTTAGATTGAAAGAGGAAATGTGGATGGCTCAAACCGAGTTACTATAGTGCAGCACCTCTCTCACCCCTGGGGAATAGCCGTCTTCGAGAACTTCCTCTATTACACGGATCGTGATTATGAAGCCATTGAAAGGGTGGACAAGTCCACGGGATCTAACAGAGTTGTGGTTAGAGACAATGTATCTGGACTCAAGTGTCTGCGTGTCCACTACCGAGACAGTGAGTATTTACAGAATGTTACATTGTATACATTAATGCAATAACATAGTGAGATTTATGTTATATGGACTCTTCTAAAAGTAAGATACCACAAGAATAATAAAAATAACAACCCCCCCCAATCATTTTTTTAAATTATTTTTGTTATCTTCCTCTGAACAGTTATTCACAACTGTAACTGATACACCTTTAGAGCTAGCTTTTTATACATTCTGTTCCTATGACTTGCCAATAAACCTTTGATGTCTTTGTTGTATTCCTGCATCTATTGATTTTTGAAGCTGTTACCTTGAACATTACATTACATGTTATTATCTTGCACAATACATTAAGATTGTGCTAATGTACCTTTGAAACATTTTTGAAGGAATGCATTTTGAAGTACATTGCATGTAAAAGCTAAAGCATATGTAGTGTTACAATTTAAAAAATGCAAGTTAAAGCAAAGATAATATGTAGTCATAATTAAACTGCAAAGATCACGTCACTTTAATTTATTCATAGAAGTGAAAAGATTGCTTCTTGATACAACTTATTTTAGTTAGATTCTTCTAAGATCCCTATGTCTCTGTGCACCAACAGAAAGCATCATAAACCCTTTTCTTATGGGAATTGGCTTTTCTTATGGGAATTGAGCTTTGTTGAATATTTACATCCAACTATTGTTGCTCCCCTCGTTGAATGATAAGCCAGTGCCGGGTTATCTGACCTCGTTTTCCCTCTCTGCTCCTTAGTAGCACACAGACAAATCAGATGTGCTAACCGTAAATTAAAAAAAAAAAAATCTATAGTAGTCAAACCTTGGAGTGATCTCTGATGTCTATGGTCAGCATTTCACCTGATTGAGGTTGTTTTTTGTGTTCTGCAATAGTCTTTAAATATAGGTTGAAAATGTAATTTTATTCTCTCCTTGAATAATATCAGGCAATAATAGCCAATAGCCTACAGTATGTGTAAAAGTCAAAGAAAAGCATTTGGACTCCCATTTAAATAGTTCTCATTGTTAGTTCAGGTACGGCCACATCCTCTTGCCATGGTGTCATGTGGCCTCACATCACATAGGCAGTTATAAGGCCCTCACTGTACTGTGTGCCTTCAAGTGTTTCCTATTTTGCTTTTTTTTTTTCCTGTGTCAAATCTAACAACTCACTATTATTTGACATTCAGTATTAATTCACTTTCAATGGTGTCCTCATTCCAGCACCATATAAGAGAGTGAAGTGGCTAAGGAAGGTCCTCTAAAAGCAGGGATGGTCAAGGAAAGGAAGGTTAAAAGTGATGTTAAGGCAAGGACAAGTGTAATAAGTTAAACATGATAGTGTAAAGTCATTCAAAACAATCATCCCTAAATTGCATTTGTTTTTCAAGATTTCCTATAAATGAGGTGACAGGTTGATGGTATGATCCTTAACTGGTGGCATCAGATATCAGGCAGGGCCAAAATGTTTTGTAAATAGATGTTTACTAATTGTGCAGATGGTTTAGTACTAGTATTTAATGAAGGTTTAAGGTGTAGTTTGGGATAATCAACAATTCTTTACAAAAACCTCTTGTTTTTTCCCTAAAGTCCCGCTTGCTTTGGCGTGACAATAAGAGATTGGATATACTACATACCAAAGTTATTACACAATGAAGAATCTGTGTTCCGAGCTCTCCTGATCAGCAATGAAAGTGAAAGCTTTGTTCTATCCTGAACACTGTGTCCTCATGGGCCCCTCTGCATCACTGATACACTATTTCTTTACGCGTTTGGGCACTATTATACCCTCTTGCACTTAGAGGTCAGATCAGTTGTGTAGGGAGACACAGTTGACCTGACCTGTTTCATAACTACATGTTTTTGTTTTTGTTTATAAGGAAAGTGGATTCATTTTTGTCTTTTACGATACACATAATTCTGGTCTTTATTTTATAATCAGAAACTACAGGTAATTCTAATGGCTGCAGCAATAATCCAGATGCCTGCCAACAGTTTTGCTTGCCGAAACCCAGTTCCCAATTTTCCTGTGCCTGTGCCACTGGATTCCGCTTGAGTGCTGACAACAGAACCTGCACACCATATAACTCATTTATTGTAGTGTCTATGTTGACTGCAATTAAGGGATTCAGCTTAGAAACTGAGGATCACTCAGAAGCGATGGTGCCAATGGCTGGACGAGGTAGGTCATGTGGTTTGTGGAATTTGCAGTGGTGACATTTTCACCTTATCGGAAATGTGTACTTAAAGAAAAGCAAAGGCTGTTGTCTTGCTGGTTTAATGGCTTAAATAATTTCTGAGTCACTGACCTGGACAACTACATAGGATGTACAATATTTTCTGACTTCATTAGGTACATATGTAGTCCAGGTCAGTAGCAGACAAAGTAGTGAAGCAAAGCAATTAGATCAACATGATAGTCAGGCAACAAGCATTTTGTGAAGATGATTAACCATCACCATGTTTCTTTCACCATAGGTTCAAATAAGACCAAATCGAAAGACTTAAATGACAAGTGTATAAACTATCACTAAGTCCACCCCCACCACCTTCTTCACTACATCATTACCTTAGTTCCTGTTACAATTAACCTGATGAAAACCTTTTTTAGTGCTGGCACATTGGGTCCCCATTGAGTTAGGGCTGTATATAGAGACTAGATAGCCTTCGTATTAGAGATCAAATGACTGTTAGGTTACTGCTGGTATGGGGGAGCAGGGAGAGCTGAGCTGCTAAGAGAAATGACTTCAGTGTTCCTGTAAGCTTTGAGGATAAATTGCTCAAAACTGTCTGTAGCTACATAGGTCAGATAGGGCTTGTATTTAACGCTCATTTACTGCTTGTAAATACTTGATTGTCTATGGCCACAGATTCCATTTAGAGAAATATGTAGGCTGCCATTGCTCAGTTGTTCTGGAAAAGCTAGCCGCCCAGCCATCAAACTGCTTTGGCTTCAGTGCTGTAAGAGCCACTTGGGACAAATATAGATCAAAGAAATTCTGACGTTTATTTGCTGCATCATGCATGCTTGTCTAGTTTATAAGTAAAGAAAGGAGACACATCAACGTTTTCAAAAGGAGGCCAGCGATTGCAGCCCATATACTTCTCCCATACTTTAGTTCACACTGTTGTGCCACAGCAATGGGCAAAAATGCACATAATGCACATTGGTGTACTCTGGTGCCATTCTTTGTTAATGACATGCCAATGCAACTTGCATTGCAGCACCCCATAACGCCTGGTAATGCTGTAAACAAGATTCCCAGCGCACCTTCTAGCTAACAAAGCCTGCAAACAAACTAAATTGATTCTGTCTTACAGTTCATGTTAAAGCAGAGGGTTTTGTTGCACACATTTGCAAATATATACGTGGAAGCTGTAGTGCCAACATTAAGACTCCTCTGGAAGGAGCAGAGTCCTCCTGAACCCTTTCGATGCCAGGGCTGTTTTTGAACGTTTAAAAAATCATTTTAGGTCTGAAGATTACACAAAACCCCAAACAGTATATATTTTCTAAAGCAGACACCCTAGAGCATAAAAATAACAATAGTTCTTATTTTTTTGTATGTCCCATGCTATTACCGCAAATGTCTAAGAAACACAAAATTTCAGTAAACAAACAAACTAAAATTAATTTTAGGGCAAACAGATGCAATAAATTACCCACATTTTTGGTAAAATATGAAAGACGAGGTTGCACTGAGTAAAGAGATGCATGTCAAACCTTAAAATTGTGTGCACCCGTGAAATGGCGACAAACTTCAGTACCCTATATTTTCTATAGGCGACGCTTCAAACGCCCCTACAGGTCATCAGTTTAGTGTTATGGTGGAAGTATTGTGCTAGAATTATTTCTCTCACTCTGGTGTGTGCGCTGATATGTAACATATGTATCACAACTGATGTTTTCCCGCGTAGGCACCCGCAATGCGTGCGTTTACATTCTTACGTGTGTATATTTTGGGGTGGGGGGACGCAACATTTTTTATCTGGGGGATGTTATGTGTTTGGGTGCAACTTTATTTTTTTGTAATAACATTTTTTTTTTCATGTTTACCGTTTTTTTTTTTAATCACATAGGGGCACAAAGTCCCCTATGTGATGATTTTTAGGTGACAGGTTCTCTTTAACCACCTCCTGCACCACCATATAAGGAAATGACAGGCGCGTGGCAGTTCTCTTGTTCTGGGAGGACATCATATGATGACTCTAACTGCGCATGTGCGCCCCCGGGGGAGTGTGGAGCGGCGATCGGTGGTGCCCTGTGTCCCTGGGACATAGCGGATTACCAATCAGAGTAAAGAGCCGATGACGTCGGCTCTGTCATGTGATCAACTGTGTCCAATCACAGCTGATCACATGTAATTAGGAATTGCCTGTTATCGGCAGTCCTCTCCTCACCCTGACAGCGTGTGAGGAGAGGAAAGCCAGTAATTTGCATTCCTCAGAGGGAACATCTACACTGATTATCAGTGCCCTGATGATCAGAGTAGCCCCATCAGTGCCACCTGTCAGTGCTCATCAATGCCACCTGTAATTTCCCATCAATGCCACATATCAGTGCCTACCAGTGCACATCAATGCCACATATCAGTGCCAACTATCAGTGTCAGTCAATGCCAGTCAGTGTCGCCTATCAGTGCTACCTATCAGTGCCAATCAGTGCCGCCTATCAGTGCCCGTCAGTGCTGCTTATCAGTGCCAGCTAGTTCCACCTATCAGTGCCATATATGAGTATTGCCTTTTAGTGCCCATCAGTGATGCCTATCAATGCCCACAAGTGATACCTGTCAATGCCCATCAGTGCCACCTATCAGTGCTTCCTCACCAGTGCAGCCTATCAGTGCATATCAGTGCAGCCTATCATTGCCCATCACTGCAAAAAATAAAAACCCCCAGTGGTGATTAAATACCACCAAAAAAAAAGCTCTATTTGTCTAAAAAAAAAAAAAAATAATTTGTTTGGGTGCAGTGTTGAATGAACGCGCTATTGTCATTCAAATTGTGACAGCACTGAAAGCTGAAAATTGGCCTGGGCAGGAAGGGGGTAAAAGTGCCCGGTAGGCAAATGGTTAAGGAGACATGCAGGGTCTGAAATACCATGCATGTCTCCTCTGGGCTCCACTGAATGTATTGCAATGCAGATTGCTAGAATAGCCAGGGAAAGTGAAAGGGGTGACCCAGGAGTGACGTCATACACGTCGCTTTCCAGGTCACAGCAAGAAAGGGAGAAGAGTGGACGCGTGTCCGCTCTCCTCACTCCCGCTGGCACCTGCCATGTCTGCCTGGGTCCGCAGATAGACAAGCAGAGCCTGGAATACATGGCAGTAGCACCACTAGCAGGGATGTGGGGAAGCAATTGAGCGGCAGCGCAGTTGCCCGTCTGCTTCCACCTGACAGGCAGGAGTCTGCCGGTCAGTTTTTATACACAATCCCGGTGGCTGCCACTGGATTGTATGTAAAATGCCCCAACTATCAGGTCCGTACGACGTACGGACCTGGAAGCAAATGGGTTAAAGGCACAGGGACACATTCGATGCCCATCAAAAGCACAATGGGAGCTGAAGGCACCAATTGTGACCCCACACCAAATCAGCAAACAAGTTATACAAAAATATGTCAACCACCCCAATTTGTAACTAGCCTTTGCAATAAAGTGCACATGGAAGGACAACAAACATCACAAACAAACACATTTCCCAGCTTACTTACCATCTAGCCCGCGAACAAACCAACTTGACCCTGTCTAACAATTCACAGTAAAACAGAGGGTTTTGTTGCACTCATTAAATATATGTGGAAGCTGCAGTGTCCACCTCAAGGCTCCTCTGTATAATGTGGTCCTAACTTGTGAGAGTTTCCAAGTTGGAGCATATGGCATGCACATTCACCTGATGCAAATACGCATGTTTGTACAACAATCTTTTGTTAAAAAGACTGCTAGCCATACAACAATACAGGGATAATTTGAATGAGGCAGAAACTTCCAGATCTCTTTGGTTCTGTATATTATCCTGTCATTCAACTGCTTTTCTTAATACTTGTATTTGTCATTGTATCATAGGAGTGGTATGGATTTCACTCTCTAAATGTATCCATTTTTAATGATGTTAATATACAGATTATTATGAATATTGTTTTTTTTCACAGGTCGCAATGCTCTCCATGTAGATGTCCACATGCCATCTGGTTTTATTTACTGGTGTGACTTCAGCAGCTCAGTGTCTTCATACAATGGCATTCGACGAGTCAAACCAAATGGCTCTTACTTCAGAAACATTGTCACTGGTGGTATTGGAAGAAATGGAATTCGAGGCATTGCTGTTGACTGGGTCGCAGGTAGGTGAAATCAAATTCTACATTTATGTGGACGCTTTGAAAGCTTAGCAGACAGAAAAATTAGAAAAACAAAAATTAATGAACCATGTTATGCAGAAGATGTGGTGCACTCCAAATGGTGTGGGGGCCCACCAAAATGAACGCTGTAGCAGGGGCGAACTGACAACTCATGGGGCCCCCGGGCAATAGGGGATCATGGGGCCCCTGTGTCCTTGCCCACACTCAAAAAAGCCTATAAAAAAGGTACCAGGGGCATTTCATGGGGCCCCTTACTGACCCCGGGCTGTCGGGCAGTGCCCGAGTGCTCGAATGGTCAGTCCAACCCTGCGCTATAGTGAGTAACAGCAGATGGCATTCCTGTCTAAGATCCCCAGTATCATAATATCACCAGCATGTTTCAAGCTCAATCAAGAACAATTTATTAGTCACAAATACGAACAGTGATGTTTTGGAGCCTAATAAAAGCCCCTCCATCAGGCAGACAGTGCCTGCTTGATGAGCTGGTGACATTTGTTAATGTTAATGAATCATGTGTTCCCTAAAAAATAATTATATGTATTTTTAGATTTCAGCGAGAGTAGGTAATTTGCTTGACATTAGCCACTTGTAGCCCCCTGTACAGCAGCACCAAGACCTATAGTTGCAAGAAAAAGTATGTGAACCCCTTGGGATTACGTGGCGTTTTGCATGAATTGGGCATAAAATGTGCTCTGAACGTCATCTAAGTCACAACAATAGAAGAACACAGTCTGCTGAACATAATACTACACAAACATTAGATGTTGACATGGTTTAATTGCACATAACATGTAAACATTCACAGTACAGGGAGGAAAAAGTATGTGAGGCCCTAGCTTAATGACTTTTCCCAGAGCTAATTGGAGCCAGGAGTGAGCCAACCTTGACTCCAATCAGTGTGATGATATTGGATGTGTTGCTGACAGCTGTCCTGCCCTTAAAAAACACACACCTGTTTTGGGTTGACTGGTTTCAAGAAGCACTGTCTGATGTGAACCATGCCTCGCAGAAAAGAGCTCTCAGAAGACCTACGATCAAGAATTGTTGACTTGCATGAAGCTGGAAAGGGTTACAAAAGTATCTCCAAAAGCCTTGATGTTCATGTGTCCACGGTAAGACAGACTGTCTACAAATGGAGAAAGTTTACCACTGTTGCTACTCTCCCTAGGAGTGGTCGTCCTGTAAAAATGACTGCAAGAGCACAGCGCAGAATGCTGCATGAGGTAAAGAAGAATCCCAGAGTGTCAGCTAAAGACCTACAGAAATCTCTGGCACATGCTAACATTTTTGTTGACACATCTACAATAAGGAAAACATTAAACAAGAATGGAGTACATGGGAGGACACCACGGAGGAAGCCATTGCTGTCCAAAAAGAATATTGCAGCACGTTTGAAGTTTGCAAAAGAGCACCTGGATGTTCCACAGCACTACTGGCAAAATATACTGTGGACAGATGAAACCAAGATTGAGTTGTTTGGGAAGAACACACAACACTATGTGTGGAGAAAAAAAGGCACAGCACACTAACATCAAAACCTCATCCCCACTGTAAAACATGGCGGAGGGAGCATCATGGTTTGGGGCTGCTTTGCTGCCTCAGGGCCTGGACGGATTGTTGTCATTGATGGGAAAATGAATTCCAGAGTTTATCAAGACATTTTGCAGGAAACCGTACGACCATCTGTCCACCAACTGAAGCTCCGCAGAGGATGGGTGATGCAACAGGACAATGACCCAAAGCATACAAGTAATTCACCAAAAAAATGGCTGCAACAGCACAGAATACGCCTTCTGGAGTGGCCCAGTCAGAGTCCTGACCTCAACCCAATTGAAATGCTGTGGCATGACTTTAAGAGAGAGCGATTCACACCAGACATCCCAAGAATATTGTTACACTGAAACAGTTTTGTGAAGAGGAGTGGTCCAAAATGACTCCAGATCGTTGTGCAGGTCTGATCTGCAACTACAGGAAATGTTTGGTTGAGGTTATTGCTGCCAAAAGAGGGTCAACCAGTTATTAAGTCCAAAGGTTCACATACTTTTTCCTCCCTGTACTGTGAATGTTTACATGTTATGTGCAATTAAACCATGTCAACATCTAATGTTTGTGTAGTATTATGTTCAGCAGACTGTGTTCTTCTATTGTTGTGACTTAGATGACGTTCAGAGCACATTTTATGCCCAATTCATGCAAAACTCCACGTAATCCCAAGGGGTTCACATACTTTTTCTTGCAACTGTATAGATGTAGAGACAACAATAACAGACTGACTGAAAAAGAGAACAGATAGATAAAGTCATCCATATGCTCCTTTCCTTCACTGTCCAGTTAGGCTAGGTTCACACCTGTGCGGCTGTGCGGGACGCAATTTGCGTGTGCATGAGAGGCCATTCATTTGAATGGGCTACTGTGCCCTGGGACACGCAGGAAAGAAGTCCTTGCACTATTTTTTCTATATTGCAGCCTGCATGGGAACCGAGGTTCCCAGTACGGTTGCAATTTCCAGTGCGGGTGATGTGCCATTAGGATTAAAGGCACCCGCCCGTGGCCCTTGCATTTCTCTGTATGGGTGGTTGCGGCTGCCAGTATTTATACAGCTCCCACAGCGGCACCACCCACACAGGTGTGAACCGAGCCTTACAGACTGAGGGCAGGGTAGTGACTGGGCTGTATTGCATAATTGCAGTGGAGAAAAGTTGGGTCACTAATGTGGCTCTCCTGTCTCGCAGAGTTGTGTGAATCTCAGGACTTGTTAGACAAAACCACAAAACCTTTTCCACGTATAACAAATCCCATATTCCTTATATGTAATTCACCTGTGTATTTAGATGATTGCCTGGAGTTCAGTGCTAATAATATATTGTGTACATGATGCTACACAAGGAAAAGCAAAATAAAAAGTAAGCTCCAATTATAAAACATTGTAATTGTGAAAACATGATTGCTATTTACAGTGCAGAAATACACAGGCTTTCTCTACACTAATAGAACTATGAGGACTGATGATATGTGTGAAGCCATAGGAACCACACCAGAATAAGCTTGTTGATTGGAAGCTGTAGGCTACTGCACCACGTCGCTGTTTGAACTCTGTATTCAGATAATCACTTATAATAATCTCACACCTGGTCTTTTCCATCCTCTGAAATGAGAGGAAGATTTCTTTTTTCTACATAACATGCTATGTGAACCCACTAGTCAGTTTGCTATTGATTAATTTTCTTTCCAGTTCTGTGAGGGCCTATTCATACCAGATGAGGTAGGACTGCACTGGGCGGCTATCCCAGCACAGTTCCACTGCAAGACAAGGCAAGGCAAAATGCTTATTCTCATATAGCTGGCCAGTTCACACGACCATGTTGCGGTGGTGTGTACTGAAAAAAAAATACAGCACAGAGCGTCCCAATCCACCACTTCGGGCTGTGCTATAGCCAATAGAACTTAATGAAATGTCACTATATCACATTATAATAACATTTGTTTAAAAAAAAAGGAGAAAACAATAAGCTGCGATCGGTGCATCAGCACTGCTGTCTTCCTATTGCACACTAGCTGCTGCGTTCTAACATATTCGCTGGTGTGAACAAGACCTAAAGCTGAAGTTCCAGTAAACATCTAAATACACAGATGAAATACATATATGGGAGTTGTTTTACATTCATCTGTATTTCTATCCTTCCGTTTCTGAGATTTACACAGCTTTGCCACATCATTTAGATATTTCTGGTAGATAGGAGACCTTATTTGTATCTGCTTCAGTTCAGCAATGTTTACATGTCTACGCCTGTGAATGGACAGTGAAAGGAGAAGCAGAACCATGAGCTCATCTCACTGTCACTTTGCTCTCTGCTCCTTTCAGTATATGTTTACACTCTATCACAACTAACTGGCTTCTTGTGCTGCTTCTCCCTCCACCAGCCTGCACTCTACTGTGCAGGGACTGCAAGAAATTGAGTCCAATTCTTGTGACTTGTCATGTATACTTTTTTCACTGTTCTTTTATTTTTACAAATGTACAGTGTAAGATGTTTGTCTATTTCAACTTGTTCTCTTTCCCTGCCTAGGAAACCTTTATTTTACCAATGCTTTTCAGACGGAAACATTCATTGAAGTTGTCCGCATTAACATGACTTATTATCGTCGGGTCCTAATGAAAACTACAGTGGATATGCCAAGGCACATTGTGGTAGATCCCAAAAATCGATACCTGTTTTGGGCAGATTATGGTCAAAGTCCCAAAATTGAGCGAGCTTTCCTAGACTGCACCAACAGAACAGTTCTGGTGTCGGAAGGCATTGTTACACCAAGAGGCTTAGCTGTGGATCGCAATGACGGATATGTCTATTGGGTTGATGATTCTTTGGATATGATTGCAAGAGTTAGAATAGAAGGTGGTGATACACAAATTGTGCGATATGGCAACCGCTATCCAACACCTTATGGGATTACTGTATTTGAAAACAGCATCATCTGGGTGGACAGGAACTTAAAAAAGGTGTTTCAAGCCAGTAAAGACCCTAGTAATACCGATCCACCAACTGTTCTTAGAGATAACATAAATCTCCTTAGAGATGTTACGGTGTTCAACAGCAGCTATCAACCTGTGTCGCCCCAGGAAATCAACAATAACCCATGTCTGGTGAACAATGGGGACTGTGCCCATTTCTGCTTTGCTATACCTGGCACACAGACACGGAAGTGTGGATGTGCTTTTGGGGCTCTCAGCAGTGATGGAACAAGGTGCGTGATTTCTACGGATGATTATTTGATCTATGCATTGGAGGCTTCCATTAATAGTCTGTCCTTAAATCCTGAGGATCACAGTCTTCCTTTCGCCAGAGTCACTTCCCCCAGGACATCGATAGCTTTGGATTTTGACAGCCTAGATAACAGAATATACTACACTCGGAGTGCGGGAGCTGGAAGAAGTGAAATTCGCTACTTCACCCTTTCAGCACTTAATCAACACACCACGGTAGCATCAGGTAAGCTGTATATATTAAATATGGATTGATTTACTAAAGGCAATAAGATTGTTCATTTTACAAGGGAAAGTGCACCTTGTAAGGCAATTATCCCCTTAGCATAGTGAATGAGGTGAAGCTTTGCTGACTTCCATCATCCAATCATATTTAAGCAAAAATGCTGCCTGTGATTGGGTATTTTTGGGAAAGTGAAATTGCCCCGTATTCACTAATCTGGGGTAAATTCCCTTGCACAGTTGCACAGTGCAAATTCCGCCACTTTATCAAAGTCTTTCACAAAACATTGGTATTTGGCACCAGGGATACTCTCATCATTGCTTCTTCTTTATTGTATACAAAGTATGATTAGAAGAAGAAATGATACCTGCTCTTTAAAAAAATGTTTGCGTACATTCTGTGCAATAATAAAGAAGCCCTGGGAAAAGAATTCTGTGGTACCACATATCTATGGCGTATGTATATAAATATATACAGTATATATATATTATTATACAGTATTTGTAAAGCGCCGATAGTTCGCTCAGCGCTGTACATTACAAAGGGGGACAGAACATGTGACAGTAAAATAACAATACAATGCAAAACATGAGGGGATTGAGGGCCCTGCTCTTTTGAGCTTACAATCTAGGAGGGAGGGGATGGTGGCACAGGAGGAGATAGCTGTGGGGGATGGAGTGGTAGGAAGAGTGGAGGAGGTCAGCAAGTTAGCAGGGGGTGGGGTAGGCTTCCCTGAAGAGATGGGTTTTCAGGGTGCGCCTAAAGGAGAGGAGAGTAGGTGATAATCTGATGGGTTGGGGCAGGGAGTTCCAGAAGTCCTGGAGGCGGGCTTGGGAGGAGGAGGAGACCAGGAAACTAGAGAGAAGGAGGTCTTGTGAGGAGCGGAGTGTGCGTGCTGGGCGGTACTTGGATATTAGGTCGGTGATGTAGTTCGGGGCAGTATGGTGGACAGCTTTGTACGTCAGTGTTAGGATTTTGAATTTGATCCATTGCGCAATCGGAAGCCAGTGGAGGGATTAGCAGAGGGGGGGTGGCGGAGATGGAGCGGTTGGAACGGTGAATGAGTCTGGCTGCCGTATTCAGGATCAACTGAAGCGGGGATACCCAGCGGCGAGACAGGCCAGTAAGAAGGGAGTTGCAGTAGTTGAGTCGTGATATGATGAGGGAGTGGATGAGCTGTTTAGTTGGTTCTGGGGTTAGGAACGTGCGGATTTTGGCGATGTTGCGGAGGTGGAGTCTGCACAAGCTTGTTAAAGATTGGACTTGGGGCTGGAAGGATAGGTTGGAGTCCAGAATGACACCAAGTACTCTGGCCTGCGGGGCGGGTTTGATGGTGGTGTTGTTGTATGTATATATACAGTGGGGATCGAAAGTTTGGGCACCCCAGCTAAAAATTTGTATTAATGTGCATAAAGAAGCCAAGGAAAGATGGAAAAATCTCCAAAAGGCATCAAATTACAGATTAGACATTCTTATAATATGTCAACAAAAGTTAGATTTTATTTCCATCATTTACACTTTCAAAATAACAGAAAACAAAAAAATGGCATCTGCAAAAGTTTGGGCACCCTGCAGAGTTAATATCTTGTACTGCCCCTTTGGCAAGTATCACAGCTTGTAAACTCTTTTTGTAGCCAGCCAAGAGTCTTTCAATTCTTGTTTGAGGTATCTTTGCCCATTCTTCCTTGCAAAAGTCTTCCAGTTCTTTGAGATTTCTGGGCTGTCTGTCACGCACTGCTCTTTTAAGGTCTATCCATAGATTTTCAATTATGTTGAGGTCAGCAGATTGTGAAGGCCATGGCAAAACCTTCAGTTTACGCCTCTTGATGTAATCCCCCGTGGATTTCGAGGTGTGTTTAGGATCATTATCCATTTGTAGAAGCCATCCTCTCTTTAACTTCAGCTTTTTCACAGATGGCATCAAGTTACCATCCAAAATTTGCTGAAATTTTATTGAATCCATTTTTCCTTCTACTTGTGAGATGTTCCCTGTGCCACTGGCTGCAACACAACCCCAAAGCATGATTGATCCAACCCCATGCTTAACAGTTGGACAGAGGTTCTTTTCATTAAATTCTGTGCCCCTTCTTCTCCAAACGTACCTTTGCTCATTCCGGCCAAAAAGTTCAATTTTAACCTCATCGGTCCACAGAACTTGTTTCCAAAATGCATCAGGCTTGTCTATATGTTCATTTGCAAAGTTCAAACGATGATTTTTATGGTGAGGACGTAGAAGAGGTTTTCTTCTGATGACTCTTCCATGAAGACCATATTTGTACAAGTATCTCTTTATAGTGGAATAGTGTACCACAACTCCAGTGTCTGCCAGATCTTTCTGGAGGGATCGTGCAGTCAAACGTGGGTTTTGAATTGTTTTTCTCACAATCCTGCGAGCTGTTCTGTCTGATATTTTTCTTGGTCTTCCAGATCTTGCTTTAACTTCCACTGTTCCTGATGACTGCCATTTCTTAATTACATTCCGAACAGAGGATATTGACATCTGAAAACGCTTTGCTATCTTCTTATAGTCTTCTCCAGCTTTGTGAGCGTCAACTATTTTCAGTTTCAGTTTTCTAGACAACTGCTTAGAAGAACCCATGGTGCTGATTGTTAGGACAAGGTCAGATGAGTCTGGGCATTTAAAACCTTTGAGATTGACATCACCTGGTCTTCCCAGACGATGATTGAGAACAATCCATGACACTGGCAGGTCTCAGCTTGCAAAGGGGGCAGTGCATGCTATAAATTCTGCAGGGTGCCCAAACTTTTGCAGATGCCATTTTTTTGTTTTCTGTTATTTTGAAAGTGTAAATGATGGAAATAAAATCTAACTTTTGTTGACATATTATAAGAATGTCTAATCTGTAATTTGATGCCTTTTGGAGATTTTTCCATCTTTCCTTGGCTTCTTTATGCACATTAATACAAATTTTTAGCTGGGGTGCCCAAACTTTCGATCCCCACTGTATATATATATATATATATATATATATATATATATATATATATACAATCTCTTAAAAACATGCTAAATTCATAGAATACAGTGAGTTAGCTACAGAGACTACACAGAGCTGTTTGTTTGGAAGCTGTTTGATTGAAACTACAGGTTGAGCCCTCTGATTAGGGGTGAATCACTGCTAATGATTCACTGAACTATGTAAGACACAGGCTTCTTTCGTCAATGTGGCAACCTGAGAACCTTTAAAAAAGTAAAGAAGTCTAAAGTGTTTTAGACCTTACCATAACACATAAGGAGATCAATTAGGTACAAACCTTTGATGTATTCTCCTAACATTTACATTGTTTTATGTAAATTTCAATCCATTTTAAATACATTTGCAAAGACAAGTGTTATATTTGTGTATCTTTGCAGGGCCAGTTGTATGTATAGCCACTTATATAAAATGCATACAATCAGTTTGTCATGGTACAGTTTGGTTTTTAGTGTATGGGTTGCATGAATATAATCAGATAATTGATATTTGGCAGCAGTTTTTTAAATCTAATATTAAGTATATTGTTGAATATAATAGTTTATCATTTTCAGGTTATGTTTGCTGTACAGTTTTTGTGTATATTCTAGCTTTTACATACAACTTTTTGAGTATAGACTTTTGTAATGCCTGTGGTGTTAAAGTAGAACTAAAGGCAAAACTTTTTTTTTTATGTTTTGGGTAGGGTAACAGAGGGACACAGTTCCATCTGTGTCCCATTGGAAAGATTTCCCCACTATTAATGTTCTGGAGACAACCCAAGATTTGTGATTTTCTTCCACTATTACTTTTGGTAATAATGGTAAACAAGACTAATAAATCTCCTTAACAAGGCACAGACTGGAATAAAAAAACCTGATAGATGTTTTAGTCTCTCTCCGCTCTATCCAAAACTAAAAAAAGAAGTTTTGCCTTTAGTTATACTTTTAAAAGATGCTTTGTGTATAGCTGAGTGTGGTAATAACCAAACTTTTTTTTTAATTTATAGACCTGGGAGCTCCAGACGGGATAGCATTTGATTGGATCCATAAAAGAATTTACTATAGTGACTATCTAAACCAGACCATTAGCTCTATGGCATTAAATGGATCTGATCGCACCGTGATTGCTCGAGTACCTCGACCTAGAGCCATCATGTTGGACCCATGCAGAGGGTATGTTCCATGTGCAGAGGTACAGAAAAATATTGATATCTCAGCATCAGTGTTAGAATCAGGTAACTGAATCCCCTACTCCACAGTAAAATCTCTGGAAGCCTTTAAAGCGAAAAGTGACCAGAGGGACATTCACAGCGTGTTGAGGAACCTCATTTTGCTGCTCATGATTTTGTAAGCTCTCACTTAGATAAAGGAAGGCGATAGATGATAACCGGATGTATGTGTAGGAACTAAAACAGACCTTAATTAGAAGAGAAAATGACTTAAAATCAACTCTCCCGTTATTTGGTATCTGCTTGTAGTTTTCAGTAATTAAGCTAATAAGTTTTCCTTTCATGGAGAAGAGCCAATTTCTGCTAATGGCTAATCCTTGCTTTTTAAAAAATTCTTAGATTGTAATTCAGCTATAGAGTGTTACTTCATGTTAAAGCGGAGTTCCACCTAAAAAAAATAAAGTCAGCAGCTACAAAAACTGTAGCTTCTGACTTTTAAAATACAGCCACTTACCTGTCCCTCGGTCCAGTGTTGTCTTCACCACAATTGGTTTCACCGGCATCTTTATTGTGGGAACCCTGCTGTAACAGCTTGCGGCTTCACAGCCGGGTGCCCACTGCGCATGCGCGAGAAGTGCTGGGCTTTGTGAATGGCCCCGTAGTCTTCTGGGACCTGTCACGTGTCCCAGAAGTCTACAGGGAGGGAGGGAGGACAACTTCCACTTCCGCTGAGATCGCTTAGGCGATCGGAAGTGGGAGCGGGTACCTGTCAAATTCGGGTACCCACTCCCCTCCCCAAAGGTGCCAATCCTTAATGGGGAGCGGGGGACAAAGGCTTAGAGTGAAACTTCCCCTTTTGGGTGGAGCTCCACTTTAAGTAGTAGTAATGGTTTTAGGTCAGTTAAATCTCACTTAATTTTTTTAATTAACTTCACTTTTAGTGAAGTCTGTAAACTGCATTTTTTTATATGTTTTGTTATTCACAATATTTGTTTTACAAATAAAAAAAAAAAACATCTTTAGTCCATCTTTTGCCAGAAATGAATATACACTCACCGGTCACTTAATTAGGTACACCTTGCTAGTACTGGGTTGGACCCCCTTTTGCCTTCAGAACTGCCTTAATTCTTCATGGCATAGATTCAACAAGGTGTTGGAAACATTCCTCAGAGATTTTGATCCAAATTGACATGATACATTGACATGACTGCATCACTCAGTTGCTGCAGAATTGTCAGCTACACATCCATGATGCGAATCTCCCATTCCACCACATCTCAAAAGCTCTATTGGATTGAGATCTGGTGACTGTGGAGGCCATTGGAGTACAGTGAACTTTTTGTCATATCAAGAGACCAGTTTGAGATGATCTGAGCTTTGTGACATGGTGCATTATTCTGCTAGAAGTAGCCATCAGAAGATAGTCATAAAGGGATGGACATGGACAGCAACAATATCCAGGTAGGCCTTGGCATTTAAATGATGCTCAGTTGGTACTAAGTGGCCCAAGATGTGCCAAGAAAATATCCCCCACACCATTACACCACCAGCCTGAATGGTTGATACCAGGCAGGATGGATCCATGCTTTCATGTTGTTTATGCCAAATTCTGACCCTAGCATTTGATTGTCGCAACTGAAATCGAAACTCATCAGACCAGGCAACGTTTTTCCAATCTTCTGTTGTCCAATTTTGGTGTGCCCATGTGAATTGTAGCCTCCATTTCCAGTTCTTAGCTGACAGAAGTGGCACCCGGTGTGGTCTTCTGCTGCTGTAGCCCATCTGCTTTAAGGTTCGACGTGTTGTGCGTTCAGAGATGATATTCTGCATACCTTGATTGTAATGAGTGGTTATTTGAGTTACTGTTGCCTTTCTATCATCTCAAATCAGTCTGCCCATTTTCCTCTGACCTCTGACAACAGCATTTTCATCCATACAGCTGCCGCTCACTGGATGTTTTTTCTTTTTTCGGACCATTCTCTGTAAACCCTACAGATGGTTGTGTGTGAAAATCCCAGTAGATCAGTAGTTTTTTAAATAACCAGACCAGCCCGTCTGGCACCAAATAATCATGCCACATTCAAAGTTACTTAAATCCCCTTTCTTCCCAATTCTGATGCTGGATTTGAACTTCAGCAAGTCGTTTCACCACGTCTACATGCCTAAATGCATTGAGTTGCTGCCATGTGATTGGCTGATTAGCAATTTGTGTTATAAAGCAATTAGACAGGTGTACCTAATAAAGTGGCCATTGAGTATATGCACCTACAATACTAAAAAAAAATGTGTATTTATTATTTTTTGCATTGAAGCCAACAAAGCATTGCCACTGTGTTGTGAAAGCAATGCACAGGCTCCTGCATTATTTGCATCCCAGCAAAAAACTGAGGTACAGACCTTCTCTTATGGGGCTGGAGGAAGAACTTAATAACTACAAGTCTAGTTATGTCACTGCACTTGTGCTCCATTGTAAGTCCCTTTTCCGCAGTGGAAGATGGGTTTTGTGGTCCCTCCATTCACAGATCCTTGTATTTGTTTTTGTGAATGGATGATGTGGAAGTACGGGTGAACCCATGCAAAGCTTAGCTTAATTCAATAATCAACAGGATGTTCCAGGGAGAAGCACTCCATGATTCAGATAAGCGTTAGAGGGGGGAAGGTGCCATTTGAGGGTGTGGGCTATACCCTATATATGGGTGTAACATGAAACATGATAATAAAGGTGAACTAAGCCTTTACTACATGGCAAAGACTTCTCAAAGCACTATGAGCTAGCTGAAGAGGCAGAGCAGCCTGCTTTTCATGGAAAGGTCATTTTTTTAGTAATATTAACTGACAAGTATAATTAAGGCCCAACTCCAGCCATTTTTAAATCTTGGATTGGAGTGGGGAAGAGTTAAAATTCCTGTTATGTTTTTACATCTGTCTGTTTCTACATTGTGCATTTTTCCCTCACCCCTTGTCCCTGTGACACCCATACACCCGTAAAGAAATGAGGATTGCTGTTGTTACCAAGACTGGAGGGCACAGATAGGAATAACAATGTTGTGAGAACTTCTAACCCTTCCCCTCTCTACTGAAATTGTTTTACTACTATCTGCATTAAAATGTTGCAGCTGAAGCTCTGCCTTTAACAAAAGGATTTTACTTAAAGATTTAAGAGCATAACTGTTGTTGATTTTAATGTTCGTCTTATAACATAGTTCTTGTATTCTTTGTATTAGTTACATGTACTGGACAGATTGGGGAATGAATGCTAAAATAGAGAGAGCAACCCTTGGAGGTAATTTCCGCACAGCCATTGTGAACACAAGTCTGGTATGGCCAAACGGACTGACCCTGGATTACGAAGAGGAGAGGATTTATTGGGCTGATGCAAGTTTGTATGTACTATCACCTCTCACAGGGCCCTACCTAACTTTGCATTACTTCTAGCATAAGCTTTCTGATTTAATCACATATGTGTTATTTATATATAGTATATAAAACCTTTTTATTCTATACTAACAAATAGTAATAATTGAGAGAATTAAAAAAAAAATGTTTACCCTAATATTGCCCCATTGAGTAACTTTAGCTATTGTTCTCTTGTCCTGTTTTTCCAAATTTGAAGAAATGGGTTTTGCTAACTCCAGTTAGTACAATCCTGTACAAATAGTAAAAATCCATTAAAGGTTGCTTGACTGTACCTGACTGTAGTATTTTGAACCACATACCTGGAATAAACCTGCTGTAGATGAATCAGAAAAGTGTCAGAATTCCTTATCTCTCTCCTTGTTTTCAATCAGTGACTCAAAAGTGGAAGCTAAAACATCACCATGACAGCTAGGGAACCAGAATTCTCAAAGGGAGAGGTCAGCACTGGCAGCCTACACAATTGTTACATGGTTATCCAGTACCAGTGTTTCTCTTGTAGCTATTAGTCCATCTGACAGTGTTAGTTTCTTCAGTGGACTCATCTCCAGAGTCCAGAGGTCTCACATGCTCATGTAGATCAGGATTGCTGTTTTAAAGGAAAGCTATCTGACACAATGCCATTTCTCTCCTCGCTTCCTAAAGAAGATTGTACATTTTTGTTTTGTAGGTGCACACAAACAGACTAATATAGAAAAAAAACACTCTCAAATAAAGTGTTTGTTTTCCTCTTAACAGACAGAAAATAGAGCGCTGCTCTTTAACAGGTACAAACCGAGAAGTTGTGGGTTGGCACAGCAATTTATCCATTTGCCATGACACTCTATGACCAGCACATTTACTGGACTGACTGGAACACAAGGAGCATTTACCGGGCCAATAAACATGATGGGTCAGATCAGATTATCATGGTGCAGAACCTACCTCAGCGTCCCATGGATATTCACATCTTGGCTAAAAGCAAGCAGCAACAGTGCGCCAGCCCATGTGATCAATTCAATGGTGGTTGCAGTCACATTTGTGCTCCAGGTATACAACTTTTATAGCCGTGGTGTTAAATAGCCATCAATATCATAGCAAAACAGAAACTGTTATGAGGTCAACTGACCAAAGATACTCTTGGGAAATCCAAATGGTTCCATACTCAATAAGTGATTGTTGCACATACAAACCTACAAACCATTTTTAATGATAAACTGACTCTTTGGAGTATAAACAGTTATTTTGGCATGCATGTTTCAGCATTGATAGTGATTAGATGAGATGTCTTTTTTTATACAATTTGCATCTCTTGAGAGAGAAGCCATGAGATATACATGAAACTTTGGATGTACAAGTTGACTGATCTGATTCCCCCATGTTATTTAGCATCTTCGATGCTAAAGTGCTTGGATGTTGGCCTATTCTACATGATATAGGCTTATTTCAAGAGGCTGAATAAAAATTGTGGATTAGCACAAAGTGTGGCTACCTGTGGCAATCAGATTTTACTTTACCAGACCAACACTTTGTAACTTGACCTTTGACTAATTAAATAAAAGTCAATAAATGGCCATTGTGAGTGCTGTTTGAATGCTTTCATTTTAAAGATCTATTGTTCCCATAGGAATTACAGATAAGAATGTAAAGCTGAACTCTAGGCTATGCAAATATTGTCTAACTGCTAGACTCCTGTGTATTCTTACTTGAAACTTGGTGTCCTTTGTATTGCCAGATATACTAGTATTAAAATAAACTCCTTGCCTTTGTGGCACAGTTGCCTTTGTGCACAGACGTCTTTTAATATATACCAGCCACTAGGATCTCTATCCTCTTGCAGGGTGACTGGTTTTGTATGCACCCCCTTTATTTTTCTGCAGAGAGCTTGTATAGAGAGGACCTGCTGCATCCCACCCACCCAGTACTGCTCTATACTCAGGCTATTTATATCATTATTATTTTCACAAAAATAATGATTGGATGTAGAAACACATGGTGCACAGAAATGGGAATTATATAAATTGTGGCCATTGAGGAACATATATAATTGAAAGTTTTTGTGCCATGGTTTCAGCTTTAACAATAGAAAATTAGTCTGGTAAGTGCAATATCCCATACCAACCATTTGCAGAAATAATGTGTGCATTTTTTTTTCTTTCCTGCAACAGGTCCTAATGGAGCAGAGTGCCAATGCCCATCAACTGGCAGTTGGTATTTGGCCAACAACAACAAAGATTGCATTGTAGACAATGCCACAAGGTGCCAGAGTGGGCAGTTCACGTGTCTTAATGGCCGTTGCATCCCAGAGAGCTGGAAATGTGACAATGATAATGACTGCAGGGATGGCAGCGATGAACTGGAACGTGTATGCGGTATGAGTTAAATGTGCTTTTTGTTCACTTGTTTAGACAAACAATCACACACAAAAAACACACAGTCATCTGAAAATAACAGAAAGTTTCCATACTTCTTTCTGTTACTCTGTGTTATTCTGCTCTATGGTTTATTTGTATGTGTAATAAAAATCTACTTATTTAGGTTGAAAAAATACATATGTCCATCGCATTCAGCTAAAAAAGTTGAACTCCAAGCAGATCTAAAAAGCAGATTTGTATTCATTGAGAAAAATTATATTTATGAATGCCACTGATGTATGTACATGGCTTTAATTTGTATACATACCCCTTGTAATTCTCTATACAGCAACACTCAGATTGCCCCAGTGTTTAGACTGCAAGCTTTGTAACTATAGCAAATCACAGAGGCTGCCACAGGTATTTGTGAACACAGCCAAGAACTTCACAGACAGCAGAAGAGGGAGGTTCAGCTTTGCTGCAGTGCACATGCTGTATGTTGACAGGGGAGGCAAAATAAAGGCTCAGGAGCATGCTGTTTGTTTTAGTCTTCATCAAACTGTGCTTTCGAAGCTGAGGCTGGGGAGTGGAACCTGGCTGTGCTGCCTTACAGGTGTGCTAGGATCAAAACAACTATCTGCACAGAATTGCAGAATCTGAAATATAATTTGTCAGGTTTTCATTAACATGTACTTGCAGTGCTGTGAAAAAGTATTCATACCCCTTGAAATTTTCCAGATTTGCTCATGTTACAAACAAAAACATTATGTATTTTATTGGGATTTGATGTGATAGACGAACACAAAGTGGCCCATAATTATGAAGTGGAAGGAAAATGATAAATGGTTTTCAAAATTGTGAAAGTGTGGCGTGCATTTGTATTCAGTCCCCCTAAATCAATACTTTGTAGAACCACCTTTCTCTGCAATTACAGCTGCAAGTCATTTTGGGGATGCCTCTACCAGCTTTGCACATCTAGAGAGTGTAATTTTTACCAATTTTTCATTGCAAACTAACTCAAGCTGTGTCAGATTGGATAGAGAGCGTCCGTGAACAGCAATTTTCAAGTCTTGCCAAGGTTCTCAATTGGATTTAGGTCTCGACTTTGACTGGGCCTTCTAACTCATGAATATGCTTTGACCTAAACCGTTCCATTGTAGCTCTGGCTGTATGTTTACGGTTATTTTCCTGCTGGAAGGTGAAGCTCCGCCCCAGTCTCTAGTCTTTTGCAAACTCTAACAGGTTTTCTCTTAAGATTGCCCTGTATTTGGCTCCATCCATCTTCCCATCAACTCTGACCAGCTTTCCTGTCCCTGCTGGAGAAAAGCATACGCACAACATGATGCTGCCACCACCATGTTTCACAGTGGGAATAGTGTTTTTCAGGTTGATGTGCAGTTTTTGGCCACACATAGTGTTTTGCTTTTAGGCCCAAAAGTAAAATTTTGGTCTCATCTGTCTAGAGCACCTTTTTTCACATGTTTGCTGTCTCCCCCACATGGCTTCTCGCAAACTGCAAACAAGACTTCTTATGGCTTTCTTTCAACAATGGCTTTCTTCTTGCCACTCTTCCATAAAGGCCAGATTTGTGGAGTGCAAAACTAATAGTTGTCCTGTGGACAGATTATCCCGCCTGAGCTGTTGATCTCTGCAGCTCCTCCAGAGTTACCATGGATCTCTTGGCTGCTTCTCTAATTAATGCTCTCCTTGCCCTGCCTGTTAGTTTATGTGGACGGCCATGTCTTGGTAGGTTTGCAGTTGTGCCATACTCTTTCCATTTTCAGATAATGGATTGAACAGTGGTATGTGAGATGTTCAAAGCTTGGGATATTTTTTTTATAACCTAACCCTGCTTTAAGCTTCTCCAAAACTATATCCCTAACCTGTCTGGTGTGTTCCTTGGCCTTCATGGTACTGTTTGTTCACTAATGCTCTCTAACAAACCTCTGAGGGCTTCACAGAACAGCTGTAATTATACTGAGATTAAATAACACACAGGTGGACTCTATTTAGTAATTAAGTGGCTTCTGAAGGCCATTGGTTCCACTATATTTTAGTTGGGGATATCAGAATAAAGAGGGCTGAATAAAAATGCACGCCACGCTTTTCAGATATTTATTTGTATATATTTTGCTTCCACTTCACAATTATGTTCCACTTTGATTTGGTCTATCACATAAAATCCCCAAAAAATACATCTATGTTTTTATTTGTAATATGACAAAATGTGGAAAATTTCAAGGGGGTACGACTACTTTTTCAAAGCACTGTAGCTGCTTCCCTTGAGTTTATGGTAAAAAAATATCTGTAGCGCTGGGACAAAAAAAAATATGCCGCAGAAAACAAAAGTAGGAAAGATGCGTACTGCCTTTTTTTTTTACAGTTTTTGGAAGGAGGTGCTTAAGAAGGTTAATAGTGAGCCCACACTTGCTTCCAAAACCTTCCTTGTTGTGATGCTATATGTTAATATTCAGTCAAAATAGAGACACATAGAATTAAAACAAATTTAAAGTTTAACTAAATGCAAAACTTATTTTTATCAATTTTGGTTAGCATAAGGGAGGTTTATACCTTTGTCAGCTTTTTTGCCATCTGTGTTCCATAGGGGAGATTTCTTTTCCCATTGAAAGATTTTCCCTCTATTACTGTTCTGGTGTCAACCCAAAAGTTTGGATTTTCTTTCACTTTCGATGATAGCAATGAACAGGACAAATAGAGAGGATGAAACTCTCTAACAGGTGCACAGACAGCAATAAAAATGGACAGGTGTTCTAATCCATCTCCACTCTATCCAAAGCTAAAAAAAAACCTCTTTATGCATTGCTGCATGAAAATGTAAGTTAGTTAGAAACCCCATTATTTCCGTTGTGGCTGGTAAACATTTTAGCACTGTAGTTTAGTGTGAAAGGCAGCGGGAAACTATGTGGGGTTGTCCACACCTACATGTGTGCTGCATGCACATGGAACTGTGTAAATCCAGCCTCATTTAAACTGTAACTAAATGCAACCCTATTTTTGTTGCAACAAAGTATAATTGGGCCCTTTTAATATTTTTTAGAAAAAAAAACTCATAAGAAAATTAGGGAGCCCCTTTTATGAGCATGTCTAGCCCTGTGCAAGCTCTGAAATCGTAGTCTAACCCCTTGAAATGTTCCACATTTTGTCTAATTACAGCCCTTGCCTAATGCTAACCACTTTTTGTGCATTGGATTTATTCATAGAATGTAAAAACCTGTTTTACTAATAATATTGATTGTTTTATCCTGCATGCAGTCCGTTTTGCAGCTGTATTTGCTCTAGCAGGTATGATTACAATATAAAAGCTGCCTGTTGATTCATATGAACAGTGTCATGTTTTTATCTTCAGTTGGATTTTTGTGTTTTATGTTATCAGCCTTTCATACCTGCTCACCGACGGCGTTCACATGTGGCAATGGAAAGTGCGTTTCCTATCTTTACCGCTGTGACCATTATAATGATTGTGGTGATAACAGCGATGAGGTTGAATGTATTTTCAGGACCTGTGACCCAAACACTGAATTTTCCTGTAACAATGGAAGGTGCATCTCCCGCTCCTATGTATGTAATGGAGTGAATAACTGCTATGACAATGGCACATCAGACGAGAGAAACTGCCGTAAGTCAAATGTGTTAAACAGATGTTAAGGAGTTATTTATGGATAAATTCCCTTGTCAATTTTGTTTTTGTTTTGACATTTTTGCCCCAATTATGGAGATTTTCCTTTACATCCTGTCCATTATACAACACAGTAAGTAAGAGGAAATCGCTCCAAAGTGAAGACAATCCTCACTTAGACAGTTGTCAACGGAACAGGTGTCCCTACTATTGGAAGATCTCCCCTCTATTCCTGTTCTCTCTTTCCCTTCTGCCCCTAAATAATAAAAAAATGAAAACATAAGGGACTTCAAGGTGACCTCGCTGAGTTTTATAACATCCACCACAACTTTAAGATTTCGTCATGCCTATTGTGTTTTCCACATGACTGTCACTGTGACTGTCAGGGCCAATTTGTTGTCCTTCAGACTTTAGGAGAGCCGGACTTTGGCCACTAGCAGTAGAAATTTCCTGGGAGTCAGTGGGAGTAATAATACTTCAGGCTTGGCAGTCAGTGGGAGTAAAAAAAAACATTGCATCTGTGGTCAGTAGGAGGAGAAATAGTGCCCCATCATTGGTATTAGTTGGAGGAATAGTGCACCATCATTGGAATAAGTCAGAGGGATAGTGCTCCATTATTCGTTTCAGTGGGAGGAATAATGCCCCATCATTAGCGTCAATGGAAGGAATTATGTCTCATTGTTGGTGTTCATTGAAGGAATAATGCCTCATTGTTGGTGTCAGTGAGAGGAATAGTGCCCCATCATTAGCGTCAGTGGGAGGAATAGTGTCCCATTGTTGGTGTTCATGGAAGGAATAGTGCCTCATCATTTGTGTTAGTGGGAGGAATAGTGCCCTGAGGGCCGGATAAAGGCAAGCAAATGGCCGCAGTTTGGAGACCACTGCTCTAGTATATCGGATATTATACCCAGTCGACTTGTGTATTTTTATAATTTTCTCTTTTATGTCATTTGGCATCGTACAAAACTATATTCATAAAATTGTAATCTTAGATGTGTGAACAACAAGAAAAAAACAAGTAGGGAGGGACAACAACCCAGGTAGATATTAGTTTTAGAAAATTGGCAGAGCTGGATGGAAAATTCTCAGCTGAACAGCGACTACATCCTATTAGATCACAGTTCATGGATTCAAGTAGCTGCAGGTATAAACTGTCTGAATACCATTGCTAGTTGGAAAGTTGGAAGGAATTAAGCACCATGTGATCAACCAGAAGTCAATATATCTTACTTTTTAATATATTTATAAACGATATTGGGTCTGGGATTAAAAATACTGTTTCAGTCTTTGCAGATGACTCCAATCTGCTCAGTGAAATAACGTCCTTACAGGATGTCTCCAACTTGCAAGCCGACCTCAATGCACTGCTTAATTGGGCAACTATGTGGCAAATTAAGTTTATTGTTGGTAAATGTAAAGTTATGCACTTGGGGGCTAATAATATGCATGCATCATACATACCGGGGGGTACAATTGGGGGAATCAATGGTGGAGAAGGATCAGGGAGTTCTGGTAGATCACAAGCTTAATAATGGCATGCAATGTCAAGCTGTGATTTCTAAAGCAAGCAAAATCCTCTCTTGTATTAAAAGAGGTATAGACTCCAGAGAGAGAGATATCATATTACCCCTGTACAAATCATTAGTAAGACCTCACCTGGAATATGCAGTTCAGTATTGGGCACCAATTCACAAAAAGAACATTGGGGAACTGGAGAAAGTGCAGAGAAGGGCAACCAAACTGATAAGAGGCATGGAGGAGCTCAGCTATGAGGAAAGATTAGAGGAACTGAATTTATTCTCTCTTGAGAAGAAGAGATTAAGGGGGAATATGATCAACATGTATAAATACATCAGTGGTTCATATAGTAAACTCATATATATACACACAGAACCCCAGCGCACAGGAACCACCTCCAAAAACTTACACCCAGGTATTAGATTGCTGCTGTACACAGGTAAATTAAACCAAAAAAATATAAAAATACAAAAAACAGCGCAAATAGACACCTTAGTGGTAAAATCAATGAAAATGTCCAAATCAAAAAATATATTTTGTAAAAAATTATTAAAAAAGTCCTTTTCCCCAAAGGAAGTGATGAAAAAATAAATAATAGAAAAAACCAACTGTCCAAACCAGGAGAATACTTCCACCATTCACCAGTGAGAAAACCAATAACAACCGCACTCACCAGATAAAGGTGAGTAATACACCTTTTGGGATATATAGGGATCCCAATCCCCCTCTAAGCCTCCTGGATTCCTTTCCACCATATAGGATTTGGGAAGAATTTATTCCAATGGCTCCTGAATTATCCTCACTCCAGACTCCACAGCAGTGCAAGGGAAAGAAATGTGAAATAGTGTAACCCTGCTAATACTATTATGTTGCTAAAAAAGCATAGCCAGACCACTCACATTTGTCAGATGAAAAAACAGCATTTTATTGCCTCCATAGGCTCTCATTAAATCCAATGTTTCCAAGCTTCATAGTAGAGACCTCACAGCCTGATCAGCAGGGGATGACAAGATAACATTCAGACAGTTTTCAAAATGGCCGCTTGGAACGCACCGCTTGGCGTGCGTTCCACTCATCGGATGTGACACGGGACGTCAGGATGGCAGACCGGAAGTGCGTCGATGTGTTTCGCCCCACCCACAGGGCATTCTCAAGACCTTGAGACCTTGGTCTTGAGAACGCCCTGTGGGTGGGGCGAAACGCGTCGACGCACTTTCGGTCTACCGTCCTGACGCTCGTGTCACATCCGCTGAGTGGAACGCACGCCAAACGGTGCGTTCCAAGCGGCCATTTTGAAAACTGTCTGAATGTTATCCTGTCATCCCCTGCTGATCAGGCTGTGAGGTCTCTACTATGAAGCTTGGAAACATTGGATTTTATGTAAGCCTATGGAGGCAATAAAATGCTGTTTTTTCATCTGACAAATGTGAGTGGTCTGGCTATGCTTTTTTAGCAACATAATAGTATTAGCAGGGTTACACTATTTCACATTTCTTTCCCTTGCACTGCTGTGGAGTCTGGAGTGAGGACAAGGCAGGAGCCAGTGGAAGAAATTCTTCCCAAATCCTATATGGTGAAAAGGAGTCCAGGAGGCTTAGAGGGGGATTGGGATCCCTATATATCCCAAAAGGTGTATTACTCACCTTTATCTGGTGAGTGCGGTTGCTATTGGTTTTCTCACTGGTGAATGGTGGAAGTATTCTGGTTTGGACAGTTTGTTTTTTCTATTATTTATTTTTTCATCACTTCCTTTGGGAAAAGGACTTTTATATAATTTTTTACAAAATATATTTTTTTGATTTGGACATTTTCATTGATTTTATCACTCTTAAAGTTTATATTATTTGAAGTAAGGTGTTTATTTTCACTGTTTTTTGTATTTTCATACAGTAAACTCGGTGTAGAGTTATTCACCCTGAGGTCATCACAAAGGACAAGGGGGCATTTTACATCTGGAGGATAAGAAATTTAATCTCCAAACACAGAAAGGTTTCTTCACAGTAAGAGCTGTGAAAATGTGGAATAGACTCCCTCAAGAGTTGGTTCTGACTAGCTCAGTAGATTGCTTAAAAAAGGCCTGGATTCTTTCCTAGATAAACACAATATAACTGGGTACCAACATTTATAGGTAAAGTTGATCCAGGGAATATCCGATTGCCTCTCTGGGGACCAGGAAGGATTTTATTTCCCCTGCAGGAGCAAATTGGATCATGCTTTGCTGGGGTTTTTTTTTGCTTTCCTCTGGATTAACTGTGGGTATAGGATTATAACTTTTTTTTATGGTTGAACTAGATGAACTTTTGTCTTTTTTTTCAGCCAGACTAACTATGTAACTATATCCTTTATTCTTGATCTCAAAGCCACAACTAGTAGAAAGAAAATAGTAAACGCATTTTGATTGCCAAAGCATTCCGCTTCATGAGGTCTCAAGCTTGCTTGTTAAAAATCAAATAAGAACTGGGGTATAACCTCCCAGACTGAAATCTTTAGGAGACACAGACAGGTATGTGGAATCTAATTGACTGTGTAGTGGCATTGCCAGTAAACACAATGGCCAGCAGGGAAAATTCCTCCATGCATATGTTTAGTTTACAGTAGATGGGTGAATCGATTGATATTCTCTTGTTCAGTCCAAAGGGTGAGCAAATAAAAGCTAAACATCTATGGCTAGCTTTTCTCCCCACCACTCTATCCAAACTAAAAAGAAAGATTTTGTTTTAGAAACAATTTATGTTAAAACACGAAGCCACACATTTGTGTGCTAAATTTCAATAACCATACACAATTTTTGTTTAAAAACTATATAGCAATAAAAATGTTTTAAGAAAAGAACTAAATGGTTTATATTGCTTGTGGATAATTTGGCTTATTGAAGTATTTTTCAGCACTCTTTTCTTGTTTTCTTTTAAAGCCGATCGCACATGTCAATCTGGATACACCAAATGTCAGAGCACCAACATTTGCATTCCTCGAACTTATCTTTGTGACGGGGATAATGACTGTGGAGATATGAGCGATGAAAGCCCCACTCACTGTGGTAAATGCTCTCCTGTTTAATCAGATTACTAATCACCATTAGAACAACAGGGCTTTAGAGCTGACTTTTGAGCTGAGGAAGCAATAAAGCCAAAAGTAGGGTAATAAATGTTTCTTCAAAGTTAGTACTTGTAAATGTTAAGAGCGCTCAAAGGAAAACACAAAGCCAATAAATAAATTGTCATTACAAATATCTATTGACCAAAGTTTTAGGGGCTTTCTTTGCTCCACAATATTTGGGGACTATAAAATGCTGCTTCTGGGCAGCAAACTAGCCAGACACCATGTAATTCACCCATCAGCAGCTTACAAAGGAAATCCACTACACCTGTTGAGAAATATTTTTTTCTGCCCCAAAATGAATGCAGTTCATAAAAAAAAAACAACAAAACAATATAACCTGTCGTTATGTAAGTTGTTTTTTTTCTGATTGCATTCTGCTTTAGTTCGATGTAAAGTAGCTTTTTTATAATTGTCCTTTTATTAAAAAGAGGAAAATGTACTAAACTGAAAAAGGTAGTAATTAAATCCCTCAGCTAGGGGTACAAATTTGTGTTGAGGTATAGCCAGGAGGTATATTGCAACACTAAAGTAGCTAATATCTTGCTAAAGGAATGATAATGGTAATTCCATTTAGCTATTACTGTGACATTATATGAATGGCATTTGACTTTTTAAGATTGTACTTGCATTTCCATTTTTTTCTCATGATCATGTTTCATATAAAGGCTATAAAAAACTTCCTCTAGTGGGTGTCTACATTCCAGACACACAGCTATCACTTTTGATAAATACAATTAGAATCAGCTACTGGACAAGCTATGTACAGGGTGTATTGCTTGACTAGGTCTAGAAAGCCGAAAGTCTTATAATAGGAGAAAGGCAGAAACATTTGCTTCATTACTAAGCAAGACTTACGGCCTGCATATACTATAATCAAAGATGGCTGCTCACATGTACATACGTAATTAAAGTGAACCTCACAGTTACTTTACAAGTCTTCATGAATAAACTCTCAGTAAGCCACAATGTAAATAGAAATTTTCACAAAAGCTCTTCCTCTGATCATTAAAAAGTAGCTAATATAAAAGAGTATGCAGCGCTGATAATAATAAAATCAGATGAAAAAATCAAATACATAAGTTGCACAATAGCATATGTTAAGGTAACTCAGTCCATATTACGTGGTGAAACAAAGTGAATATGTGCAATTGTCCAAACAATCCATGATCAGGGATAATCGTGACTCTTGTGTTCTTGTGAATGTACAAACAATGCACTAACCAGATAGCGCATAAACTGCGCGTGGAGCAATTAAGACCCGCTCCTGGTGCTCTGGACTTGTGATACCAGGAAGATGTCATCTGCAGGTTAGCCACTAGATGTCATCAGTCTAGGTGTATTCGTAAGCCATCCACCAGGAAAGGGAGGGGGGAGTCACACATCACTCTAAAACCATCAGGAACCTTCAAAAACGGGCTCCCATGGAAATAATGAGCCCCAAGAAAGCTTCTAATAGTGTAGTATGTCTTTAATTAGCAAGATTTCAGCATATACAGATAAGGGATACAACTTACATCCCTATCAGATCTGGCCACCAGGGTGTCAGTCAGGATAGCCTTGTGGTATATGTACACAGGTCAGGGGCACCTCCCTAACGCGTTTCATGTAAATAACACTTCCTCAGAGGAAGTGTTATTTACACGAAACGCGTTAGGGAGGTGCCCCGGATGTAAGTTGTATCCCTTATCTGTATATGCTGAAATCTTGCTAATTAAACATACTACACTATTAGAAGCTTTCTTGGGGCTCATCATTTCCATGGGAGCCCGTTTTTGAAGGTTCCTGATGGTTTTGGAGTGATGTGTGACTCCCCCCTCCCCCGCTGATGATTTTCCTGGTGGATGGCTTACGAATACACCTAGACTGATGACATCTAGTGGCTAACCTGCAGATGACATCTTCCTGGTATCACAAGTCCAGAGCACCAGGAGCGGGTCTTAATTGCTCCACGCGCAGTTTATGCGCTATCTGGTTAGTGCATTGTTTGTACATTCACAAGAACACAAGAGTCACGATTATCCCTGATCATGGATTGTTTGGACAATTGCACATATTCACTTTGTTTCACCACGTAATATGGACTGAGTTACCTTAACATATGCTATTGTGCAACTTATGTATTTGATTTTTTCATCTGATTTTATTATTATCAGCGCTGCATACTCTTTTATATTTTCCACTGGGTTCCAAAGGTTACCTCTTATGCTAGCGGCTTTTATATTCATGTTCCCAGCGCTCAATTAACATTTTTTTTATATATTAAAAAGTAGCTATTGAGCTCCAGTCAAGCTTAGTCTGATCAGTCTGCTGCAAGCAGGCTATAGCATTTCCTCAGTCTTCTCTTCCCCTAGTGATCAAACAGCAACCTTGTAACTTTGTAGCAACTTACATAGAATGCTGTAGGCGCTATTATGTGTCAGATCTTTGTGAACTTAGACAAGAACTGCATATGCATCAGGATTTACTTCAGTGGTGGCTAGCTTGAAAATACTATAATAGTGGGCCTTAAGTACAGCCTTTCCTGTGTTGAGGTGCATTGCATTAGGTTAGGTGGCCTATTAATATAAATGAATTGTAATGGAGCTCCTGCTGTATTTTATGTAGTGTACCACAATGCACTTTGAACAGAACACTGTGTCATTCATTTGTGTCAGTGGCTGAGATAATTACCCCCAGCATGGTACCCATGACTGCAATAGTAGCCCTCAGCACTGGTGTCAGTGACCACAGTAATAACCCCCACCATTGGTGTCATTGACTCCCATAAAAACCCTCATCAATGGTGTCAGTGACTACATTAAAGCAGTATTAAACCCAAAGGCAAACATTTATTATATTTCAGATTATCAGTTCTTAGATGTGATGGCTGCATTAATTTTATTTTTATGCTTTCTTTCTTTTATTTTCATTTGGTGATCCAGTCAGTAAGTCTGTTGTTTTTCAAAAGAACAAGCTCTCTTCCAGATATATCAGTTTACAGAGATGAGACAAACCATTTACCACTGACAGGGATGCTTATAGTGATCAGCTTTTATCTGTATATGTAAAATCTTTATCCCAAAAGGAAAAAAAAACTGTTTGCTGTTCTGCTTCATACAGAGCTAACTGGAGGTTGGCTTTAATTTGTTAGTGTATCTATATTTTGCTTGTACACCTAACACTCCCCTCTCCCCAGACTGGCAATGCTGCTGTCTAAAGGTGCCCCCTGTTTGCCTTCATCATCCAGAGCGGAGGCACTCTAATGCAGGAGGTACTGTATGTTACTGGCCAGATTACCAGTTAAAAACAGGGAAAAAAAGCCTAAAAAAGAAACCAACCTGATCAATTGGGTGGAGGTGGTGGTCAGGTCAGTGGAAACAAAGATGATGTTTCAGCACCATGCTGCTCTGCATAGTATATTGTACTTTCAGGCAGAGATCATTTCACCTGGCTGTACTGTCTTTATTTCAGTGCCGGGTGCTAAAACACAAGAACACTTAAAGTGTTACTAAACCCACAACAGTAAAATCAGTCTGTGCATGCAGTAAAGCATGCTTGTTATACTCATTGTAGAATCTAAGGGGTTAATCTTCCGCATAGTGTAAAAAAGCTGTTTGATCCTGTCTTCTATGATCCTCCCCTTCTTCTACTGTCCTCAATCCAACTTCTGATAGTACAGAGCTCTAGGAGTCACTCTGCACATGCTCTGTTTAGGGTGTATTGCTAGAGATTTTTTTTTTTTTCATGTGCATGTGATCGGCACAGGGCCAATCAGCACAGTCCAGACAGAGGGTCAGGAGCTATGCAGCCTCACAGGTCAGTCAGAGCAGAATGAAAACTCCTCCTACTAGCTTTAACCACTGCTCAGCTGGACACTGATAGAAGTCACAAGACTGAATTATACTGCTGATGAGAAATTTATTTAATAGTTAATATTTACTAAAATAATTGCACTTCCATGTTCTGTGTACAGTGGGAGACCAGATATAGTGAATGCAGGGTCCTGGGTATAAGTAAGTTAAGCACCCAACATTCTGCTCCTGCTCTGCAAAGTTCACAAATGCCCAACAGGTGGTGGCCCAGTCTAGGACATTGCAGGCCACACACAGAGAGTTGGTGGGCCACATGCGACCTGTTGACTCTATGTTGGGCATCACTGATGGGTAAGTTCAGGAAGTAGATGCTGATCCTGAATAATGCCTGAACAAAGATTGCTCTGGAGAGAAAAGCAGATAAAGTCATTGTCAGGGGTAGTACAGTGATCTTTGTGACAGGTAATAATTACCGTACCTTTATGATTTAGAATTACAACGTACTTAGTGTGCTTAAGTTAAACGAGGACAAACATGTTTTTTGCTGGAACCACTTAAAGTTCTTATAAAACATTGCAGGCAGCACATATTTCTGAATATTATTATAACAATACCTTTCAAACTATTTTCCAGCTACATTAACATGTACAGAGAGTGAATTCCGCTGTGCCTCTGGGCGCTGCATTCCCGGACATTGGTACTGTGATCGGGGAGTGGACTGTGCCGATGGCTCAGACGAACCATCATCTTGTGGTAAGTGCTTGCTGTGGTAAGTGCTTGCACCAAATACTTTAGATGAACACGTGTCACATATGCATTTATCCACTGAAGGAAGAACTGGGGTCTTATTAAAAACAGGATGTGGTTTAAAAATTAGTTGCTGTTAGTGTTATACAACAAAGATTTTTTTCTTACTTTCCAGGAGACAGGCCAATACACAATGTGCACACATCCAGTTTTTGACAGCATTGCACCTTTCAAGTTTTTACTTTCCTTTTCATTCCTCTAGTTCATTATGCTGAATAATAAAAGCTCCCCTCATGTCACAGCCACTGAGATTTTGCTTGTTCCCACATGGTTTGAAGCAGTTTTAGGGAATACATAAAATGTCTGGCAACTTAAACCTTCAGCATTAGCCATTGATTTATTATACTTTTAAAAATCTCTGCACTTTGTAAATTTCAGTGTGTTCTGTAGAACTTAATTGAGGTGTCATGATCCAAAGGTTCACAAAATGCCACTGGGAACCCCCAAACCATTTGTGTAAGTGGTTGGGGTATAAGCATATCTTTCTCATGTCCTACATAGCAATGTCTGGACTTCTCAGTCACTTGAGCATTGGACAATTTCACATTTGCATAAGCAATTCAGGCAGTTCCTGAGGCGTGCCATAGCCATATTTTCAGAAGTAAACGATACTTGCATATTCATTCCAGTGTGCTATATTGTAAATTTAGTAAACATGTGATTATGACAAATTTTCTTTAAAAGATTATTCGACCAAAACAGGTATTTTTATATTTGTTAGATCCTAGAGCAGCCTTTCTCAACCTTTTCTCCCCCTAAAATAATTTTCAGGTCTCAAGTAGTTCCTGTTTAAACCAATTCATGATCAGTCAGTGGAAAGAATGCCCTTTAGATTGGTGGTCAGGAAAAAGAATACTCCTTACACTGGTAATCAGTGAGAAGAATGGTTCTTACACTAGGGGTCAATGGGAAGAATGCTCTTCACATTGCTGGTCAATGAGAAAAACGCAGCACCTACAGTTGTGTTCAGAATGCCACTTTTACAGCCAGCTAAACAGATCATTGGTGTCTTGCTGATGACTTGTCCTAGTGGTGTTGGCCCCAGATCTGTGCAGGTATCGCCAAATTGGTATGGGGGGTCAAATCAGTTACAACTCAAGGAATCACTAGCATCCTCTGGAGGAACCCTAGTTGAGATAGTTATCTTAGAGCAATAAATTATGCTCATTAATCTCAAGCACTGTTTTGGTGAGATAGATGTACTCAGGTTCCTGAGTCCCCAAACCTGTGGTCATCATAAGGGGGTTGTATTATCCTTGTTGTTTAAAACAACAGGAGGTGCTAGGGCACACAAAGGTAAGCAAGAACACCAAAATCTTCCGGGTAGACAGAAACATATTGTGAATTATAGCAAGTAAATCTTATTGTTGAAGTATCCAAGATATATGAAAAGCCAGGGGCTGATTCAGCCCACCAGACTTCACCTACACCAAAAATAAAGTTGTTGGGCAGACTGATATTTAAATATTGTATGCATCTAACATAGCCACATCACATGACTCCATTATAATATGAATATAATCACTACCCTAACCTGTGACTATACCTAACTTTACATGGTTTATTTATGGCTTAAACCTCCAGGTACATTTGATACGCTTTGAGTTTTTGTTTCTGTGTATGGACACTTCTCCTGTCTCAAGTGAAGGGGCCTAGCTGAGGAGGAAAAACTAATTTCCCCCAAAATAATGTGAGCTTTCCCTGCTGTATTTCTGTTTAAAATACCAGCATGATGCAGTAGAGGACACCCTCACAGAACTGTATTAATAGGGCAATCTATACATGGATTGCCTATTAGCTGCATGGATTGCCGATTGCCTATTAGCTGCAACAAAAGAAGGTATAGGTGCTATCTAGTTGAATGGTTAGTCGGAACTTCTTGTTCCTCCTTTTCTGTCTATGTTTTAGGTTGTCTACAATATTTTGCAGATACTAAGATCATTTTAATAGAATTAGCTTATCTGGTTCCTACTACTTTCCATCTACATCCTTGCATGTATACTGCATAAAACAGAGATACATTTGTATGAGCTCTGCCTGTAATAGTGGAGGAGAATGTCTATTAAGCGATTAGTGTCTTCTTATCAGCAGTGAGCTGGTATGAAGCAGGGAAGATACTAGCTTTGTTGTTCTACATTCTGTGGAGAATGTTCCTGCCAAAGAATGCCTTACTGCATAGATAACATCAGGAAATCTCTTATATGTCTCGTTCTTTCTTTAACAATCGACAACTGTACTCATTTATTGCAGTGGCTCATGTGCGGACATGTTCAAGTGACCAGTTCAGGTGCGATGATACCCGCTGTATCCCAGCAACATGGGTTTGTGATGGTGATAACGACTGTGGCGATATGAGTGATGAGGACCAGAGACATAACTGTGGTAAGACCCTGAGAATACTGTATGTATATTACACACGCAAGTGCTGCCACCACTGCGGACTATGATCTTAATGCAGATTTAAGATATTTGTCATTTTCAGAGAATAAAGTAAGAGCTGAGCAATCAAAATGATTCTGTCTATGCTACAAACTTGGTCTGTGTTCAGTTTTAAGGGCTGTCTTTCCATGTGCCTGGCATACGCCTAGGTCTTGTTCAATGGAAACTGGTCATCTTGTTAAAAACTTCATCAAGAATACTCAGGTTCTGATCCCATGGTGTCTGTCCTCTGCTCTGGTACGGGACTGTAAATTCTCAGTTCTGTGTATGCATTTTATGCTGATGTTTGCGATAGTCAGTCTCCTGATACTTAAAGCCCAAAAAGGTTTTCTCATGCAGTGCCGCTGTGCCCACACTACACAAGTTACCTGCTCATTTTTGTCTAGGGAAAAGGAGAAAGGAGATATACTTACTTAATCCTCCAATCCTGTCAGATTAAGATTGGTCTGGCACCCCCATGCTCCAGTGGTCTTGAGTCGTGGACTGTTCAAGACGTCATCAAGCCCAGAGCAGGCCTTAAAAACCAGAAACAGTCCAGACCAGAAACAAACCAGAAACAGTGGGGAAGTGCTGTTGTCTGGTGGAATGAAGGATCGGGTGAGTATAAGCTTTCTCCTCACCCCTAGACAAAATGAGCAGTTGTGGGCACAACTTTTGTTTTTGCCTGGAGTTGGTATTTAACAGGTACGGACATCTCTGGCAGTGGAGCTAAGAGCATGCATTTTCACAGTCAATAAACCAGCATGGGCAAACCTCATTTGTGTACAGATGGAAGGGACATTACAGCACAGAATGGAACCCAACTCTGATAAAATACAAAGTGCATGAGATGTGGCTTACTCTTATTATTATTATTGTACAGTATTTATATAGCGCCAGAAGGTTTGCTCAGCGCTGTACATTATATTGGGGGACAGAACATGAGACAATACAGTAACAAAACAATACACAAGGGGCTCAAGGGCCCTGCTCTTTCGAGCTTACAATCTAGGAGGGAGGGGATAGTGGTACAGGAGGAAGTGGCTGTGGGGGATGGAGTGGTAGGAGGAGTGGAGAAGATCGGCTGTTAAGTGAGAGTGGGGTAGGCTTCCCTGAAGAGATGGGTTTTCAGGGTGCGCCTAAAGGTGAGGAAGGTAGGTGACAGTCTGATGGATTGGGGTAGTGAGTTCCAGAGGATGGGGGAAGTCCTGGAGAAGTCCTGCAGTTGGGCGTGGGAGGAGGATACCAGGGAGCTAGAACGTAGGAGGTCTTGTGAGGAGCGAAGAGTACGGGTTGGGTGGTATTTGGGTATCAGGTCGGTGAGGTAGTTTGGGGCAGTATTATGAATAGCTTTGTATGTCAGTGTTAGTATTTTGAATTTAATGCGTTGGGCAATCGGAAGCCAGCGGAGGGAATGACAGAGGGGGGTGGCAGAAGCGGAGCGGTTGGTAAGGTGGATGAGTCTGGCCGCTGAGTTCTGGATAGACTGAAGCGGGGATAGCCTGTGTTGGGGTAGTCCGGTGAGAAGGGAGTTGCAGTAGTCCAGATGTGAGATAATGAGGGAGTGAACGAGTTGTTTAGCAGTGTCTGGGGTTAGGAACGTACGTATTTTGTAGATGTCTTAAAGCAACAATGAAGAAAAAAGGGTCCAAGAGGCACTGGGACTTTGATATGAGTTCATACAAAGTAGTGAGGACAAAAGCATTCAGAGAGAGTTAACAGGCTCAGGTTGTTCACAACAGACAGGGCTACCTGTGGGTACCCACATTATGCACCAGTGGAAGGAGTGCTAGACAAAATAACAGAGTCCAAATTCATTTATGGGTTTACACTAAAAAACATTCAGTGCGTGAGCAATCAAGCTCATGTAGATGCTGCTGTCTAGCAACTCTCCTAGTCCAGCAATTGGCTTCCCTATATAGGTTTACACAGGAAAGCTTATTCAAGGTTCTTATTTTAACTGAATCCGTGATAAAGGAAGGGGAGGGGGTTCTGTCCCCTAGAATGTGTTGGATGTTTTTTAGTGTAAACCAGTAAATAATTTGGACTCTTTTATCATTTAGGCTGGCACTCCTACTATTGCTGGATTTTTTTTGCGGTACTACCAAAGCAAGGCTGTAACTATGGCTGTAGAAGGCAAGATGTTTTTGTGGGGCTTATTGGTTGTGTAGTCGGTATTAGTGTTCAGCAGAGCTGCACATGGAAGCTTGCTCTTTCTTTCTCAGACTAGGCTGGCTGCAATGATCAGTTGATTTAGGCTGTTCAGACAACCCCAACAGGAAGAAGAACTAAACATTCCCCTTTATGGCTCTGCAGACCAAAGGTCAAGTCGGTATCTTTCTCCAAGGCAATCTCTCACTCTCCATTTCTTGAGCAGTCTCTCCAATTTCTCTCTACAGGGCACTCTGTCCATTTTTCTCCAGTACAATCTTGAACACTCTTTCTCTGCAGGAAAGTCTTTCCTTTGTACTCCAAGGCAGTTCCATCCACTCCTTCTCTTCATGGTATTCTCCTCTTCTTTCTCCAGGGAAATCTCCCCCCCCTCCATCTTTTCCTGTCTGTTACAGGGTAGTCCCTGTAATTTTCTTACCACAGCAGAAGCAGCCTACAAATTATTCTATATACAGTTATTAAAGTTGGGAAGGAGAAGCTATAACATTTTTGCAGCTTGGCATTTACTTGCAGTCACTTCACCGTTTTCATGTATGTAACATAATGAGTAGGTTTTTGTAATAAGGCAGTGCATGCATTAGTGATGATGATGGTCTATGTAAAACTTGCCATTACCTTTGGCTTCTCATACCCATAATTCATGCAGCCAAAAAAAATAATTTTAACAATGTGGCAAATAGGTAACAGGGATCGCACTGGGGGAAGATAATATGAGTTGGATGGCCTACTATGGAAGTGGTAGTGTTACCATTGTATAAATAAACCCACAAACGTATTTGTACATGTTACGCCACCTAATGGGGTGAAGCAACACAACAGCAAGGAGCATAGACAGTCTCTGTGATTTCTTGGGTTTCCTCAAGGGCTCCAAATCTACCAAAAGATTAATTGGTTTCATTGCAAGTTGGCCTGTAAAGGTATCCTGTTAAATAAAAAACTCACTCTTCTGAAAAGCAGGGGATATTTTTTCTACCAGTCCTGCTTACCAATGTGGATTCAATATGCTTATCCTCTCTACAGAATATCAAGCAAACTAATTATCATATCATATTTCTGACAGCCAACCGCAGCTGTGCCCCAACAGAATTCACCTGTATCAACAATAGACCCCCCGAGAGAAGGTGTATTCCACGGTCTTGGGTCTGTGATGGAGATGCAGATTGCTCTGATGCCTATGATGAACATCAGAATTGCACAAGAAGATCCTGTTCCAGTACGGAATTTGCCTGTAGCAATGGGCTGTGCATCAGAAGCAGCTTCAGGTTTGTTACATAGTCAGCCACTATAATGAACTCAAATGTGAACAAAGCATAAGACTGTGACACTTTGCCCTGAAATAAGGAGCCATATCATTGAGAGTTCTCATTAAAACTTTACGGCGAATGCATGAATGCATCCATTGTGTTTTCCTGTGTTAATTATAAAAGATACTGGTGACTAGGGATTTGTCTCCTGTTTGCCTTTATTTTGGCACAACTTCCAGATTCAGTTCCTCTATAATTTCCCTTCAGGTATTTTATAGGTGCATGCTGTTGAACCAGACCTAAAGTCCATAGGTGACCTTACAACATAGCCAAAAAGTGCTGTAGATGGCTCAGCAACATAGCTAAATCATACTTTCTGGTCACCTGTCGCATCATTGGAGACTGATGTCATAAGAATCCTTCTCGTTAATCTCTCCAACAAAACTGGATTATTGAAATCATATAAAAGCCCTAGACAAATTGTGCCAAAAAAGTACTGGGAATACAACTTTTAAATCTATTTTCACTATGCATTTTTGGCTATGTTGTGGGGATCATCTGCAGGACTGGCCTGTATTTACTTTTAGACTGTTAGGTCCACTGTAAAGTAAACTTTCTCTGAAGAGACGTTAGAGGCCCACTCTTTTGCAGACCCTGGTTATGATGAGTATGCAGTTAGCATTTGCAAAAATGAAGAAATGTAAGCTTCCATGTTTCTCTCCGGATAGCCCTTACGGCAGTATAAAATAAAAGTTGCTACTGGTATACTTGTGGAAGGTTTACCTTTGAAATACACTCAAGAGCAAACACAGTTTGCTACCTTTGAATAATTCTGAGTCTACTTAATTGCCCTGGTGTGCTCCAAAAACAGACTGGCCATACACAAAGAATAGAATTTACTGTCTAATATTCCCTCTCACTGGCTTGATCCTCCAGGTGTGACAGACGCAATGACTGTGGAGATAGCAGCGATGAAAGAGGATGCACCTATCCACCCTGTCAGCAGCACCAGTTCACCTGTCAGAATGGCCGTTGTATCACCAGGGCCTATGTCTGCGATGGGGACAATGATTGTGGAGACGAGTCCGATGAACTGGAACATCTCTGCCGCACTCCAGAGCCAACCTGTGCACCACACTCCTTTAAATGTGACAATGGCCACTGTATTGAATCTGTCAAAGTCTGCAACCGGATAGATGAATGCTCAGATAACAGCGATGAGAAAGGATGTGGTGCGTGGAATGTTTTGTATATTAATCAACAGTTTGTTGTATGGAGCAATTGCTAAATTCCACTTAGTCCTTCAGGCTTAGCCAATATGGAGAACTTTATTATTTATTGCTGAAAGTACAATGACCCTTGTGAATGAAAGGTCTGTTCACATTGGAATTCTGTGACCTTTACCAAAACACTGGCCTTTACACACTGTGCTTGTATACAGGTCATAAATATTTCTAGAGGAAAATATGTAGATAATATATCATAAAAAAAGATGTGATTTTCTTTTCCATATATGAGCACTAGTTATGAGCATTTTATTTTGCTTTTGATACATGTTTTAAGGTTGACTCTGGGAAAACATGTTTGTTATCTTTTTATCAGCCAGATTCAGACTATTTTTCTGAATAAAGCAAAGCAAATGGGTTTGGTTTATCCTCCCCAATCACAGTAGCATTTAGTATTCTTACATTCCTTTGCTCACTTGCTGCTCCATTCAGTGCTAATGACAGAAGGAAATACCTGGTACTTCTGGGTATGAAGGAGCAAGTGACTCTGTGTGACAGAATCTGGGCCAATCACATTGTCTCCTGGGGAATACATCGGGGTTGATTTAATAAAACTGGAGACTGCAAAATCTGGGGCAGCTGTGCATGGTAGCCAATCAGCTTCTAACTTCAGGTTGCTCAATTAAGCTTTGACGGAAAAAAAACTTGGAATCTGATTGATTTTTGTGCAGAGCTGCACTGGATTTTCCATTCTCCAGTTATAGTAAATCAACCCCATAGTTTTTTTGTAAGCTAATATAACAGTGACTCATAACTTACACAAGGCTTTTCTAAAATGAAAGAAAGTATAGGCCATTCTTGGGAGACCTACGTCAAAGTGAACGTGTTACTTTTCCTTGTATGATCAAAGTCTGGGCAAGGAGCTAAACACACAGTTTAAATACACCGATCAACCATACAATATGACCAAGCACCATAACATTATGACCATCCACCATAACATTATGACCACCCACCTGATATTGAGTAGGTCAAAGTAACATCCACATGAATGGCAGGACCCAAGGATTCCCAATAGAATATTGTGCAAAGCATTGCACTGCCTCTGCCAGCTTACCTTCTTCCTGTAGTGCATCCTGGTGCCAGATCTTTCTTTAAGTGACACGCATGCACCTTGCCATCCAAAACGTTAAAAAAAACATAATTCATCTACCCAGGACCCTTTTTCCTTTGCTCTGTGGTCCAGTTCTTATGCACATGTGCCCATTGTATGCCCTTTGGGCTGTTGACGTGGCTTGGCATGGGCGCTCTAACTGGTCTTTGACTACACAGCCCGCTACGCAACAAACTGCGATGCACTGTGTGTTTTGACACCTTTCTACCAGAACAAGCATTAACTTTTTTCAGCAATTTGAGCTACAGTAGCTTTTCTATTGAATCAGACTACATGGGTCACCCTTTGCTCTCCATGTGCTTCAATGAGCCTTGGCCACCAATGACTCTATCGCTGGTTTTCCTTCCTTGGAGCACTTTGGTAGGTCCTGACCAGTGCAGACTAGGAACATCCCACAAAGCTGCCATCACAATTTGCCTCTTGCCAAAATCACCCAAATCCTTATGCTTGCCATTTTTTTCCTTTCCAAACGCTGCTTAATATATCCCACCCACTTTCAGGTGCCATTGTAAGCAGATAATCAATTTTATTCACTTTACCTGTCAGTGGTCATATGGTTATGGCTGATTGGTGTACATGTATATGTGCACAGTTTAACCTTCCAGAAGATCTGTAACTCTCTTAAGACATCTCATTGTACAATGAATAAATATCATCAGACTGCTAATTCTGTGTCCAGTAACTATAGTATGTGTTACTATGTGGTGTTTTCCTGACTTTCCAGTTTGAATTAATGCATCTTTTTCATCTTTTTTCCTTTCTGCACAGGCATTAATGAGTGTAATGATCCCTCAATCAGCAGCTGTGACCATAACTGTACGGATACACAGACCAGTTTTTTTTTTGCTCTTGTCGGCCTGGATACAAACTTATGTCTGATAAGCGGACTTGTGATGATATAGATGAGTGTATGGAATCCCCTTCCCTGTGCAGCCAGATCTGTGAGAACACGGCCGGCTCCTACATCTGTAAATGTGCTCCAGGTTACATCCGGGAACCTGATGGTAGAAGCTGTCGCCAAAACAGCAACATTGCTCCGTACCTCATATTTAGCAACCGCTATTATATGAGGAACCTGACTGTGGATGGACAGTCTTACTCACTTATTCTGCAAGGCCTGACCAATGTGGTGGCTCTAGACTTTGATCGAGTAGAAAATAGGCTTTATTGGGTTGATGTTGGAAGGAGAGTTATTGAGAGAATGTTTCTTAATGGAACCAACAAAGAGACAATTATTAACAATGATATTCCAAATGGGGAGGGCATAGCTGTTGATTGGATTGGCAGGTAAGAAAGTGCTGACTTATGAAAAATTGGAAAAAAGTATATTTTTGTACCCGTCACATCCACTAATGTAGTGTAAATACACTTGCATTGAAGTATATTTAAAGGCATTTTTTTTTTTTTTTAGTTTTGGTTAGGATGATGTGTTAGTGAGAACCTCTCACCATGCCATTGCAGGGCACAGTGCTCTGGCCCCCATAGGTTCACCCAACCTGTGCTCAATTGAATCTCCTTGTTCCTTTGCAGCTAGCAAGAATATACAGGACTTCCAGGTATGGGGCAGTATATGACTATGAATTCCTCTCTGGGTCTAGCAGCCAATAACTAGTCCTGAGTGCTGTTACATAATCAGGAGAAACACAGCACCACTCCCACAGGTCACCAACTCAGATTTCAGTGCTGGCTGCAGAGGAGCAAGGAGCTGCAAGGAGTTGTAGGTAAGGTAGAGCATATGAGGGGCAGTAGATGACACTGTCACCTTGACCTCCTTGACTACCAATCAGTTTCTGGGCCAGAAAGTGATAAGTAAATGAAGGGCTATAGCTGTCACCAAAACAGAAGATATGGAAAAATCTTCCAATGATGACACCTGTACTGGTAAGGGTGTATTTATGAATCAGGGAATGTGACTTTCAACAAGCATTCACTGAAGGTGAATCAATCTCTGAAATGTAAAACACATGCACCAGGAGGATTCACGTGCAGTGAAAGTTTGCTGAAAGTCACGCTCACTGCTTTAGAAATGTACCCCTTAACAATGAATATCCCCTCACTTTTTTTAGCAACTTCATCTCACTTACCTTTGTGTCTCCAGGACACGAAATTAAGGGAAAACTCCCCAATGGGATACAGACTGCAGCAAAAAACTTGTCAGGATTTTAGTTCCTCTTTTTTTCTATCCAAAAATAAAGCTAAATGCTTTCGCTTTAGATTTAGGTTAAAAAAATAATCTATTGTTTAACCACTTAAACTCTGGAAGGTTTTATCCCCTTCATGACCAGGCCATTTATTTAGCACTCAAAATTAGAAACGAATATAGCGAGCGCTTACAAAATCAGCTGCTAGAACACTCCAAGGAATCACTAGACCTCATAACATAAATAATAAAAATATAGTGCAGCAGCGCTGCACTATATTTTTATTATTTATTTAGCACTGCCTTACTTTAACTGGTAATTGCGCAGTCATGCAATGCTGTACCCAAACAAAATGTATATACTTTTTTCACACAAATAGAGCTTTTGTTTGGTGGTGTTTGATCACCACTGGGTCTTTTATTTTTTTGCAATATAAATGAAAAAGAACGAAAATTTTGAAAACAAAACCCCAATATTTTTTTACTTTCTGCTATAAAACATATTCAATTAAAAAAAATAATAAAACAATCAGATTTCTCCATACATTTTGGTCGAAATGTATCCCAATAAGTGTATATTGATTGGTGTGCATGAACGTTATAGCATCAACAAACTATGGGATATATTGGAATTTTTTTTTTTATACTGCTAATGGTGGTGATCAGCAGCTTATAATGAGATTACGATAGTGGCAATCTGACCACTATCAATCTGACACTAAAGGACACGGAGGGGAACTGACTAACTGCCACTAACATCTCCAGTGACATTAATCCAGTAGTAATACTAAACACTTTCTCTGTCTGGGAAGGGGTTAACATCTAGGGCGATCAAGGGGTCAAATGTGTGCCTAACAATGTGTAATGTGTGTATTATGTGCTGACTAAAATATCTTTTTGTTTCTCATCCCTGCTTTGAAACAGGGAGACCGTTCTCACTGATTGCACACAGCCAATTGAACGGTCCAGGCCATGAATCATTGGCTGGGACCTGCTGACAGACTCCCGCTGTGTACAATCACAGTGGGTGTAGGCAGGGATGTGCATATGCGCATGCCCTAAACCAGGAATCAGGCAGCGATGTACCAGTACATCACTGTGCCTGCATGGGGCACTAATTCAGAGTATATTGCGGTCCAGAGGTAGTTATAGAAAATCTATTTTATACCTGTTTGCTACAAGAGCAACATGGTTTGCAGCAGAAAAATTGATGATAAATTTTAAATATACATGTACATGGGGAAGCCATATTTGCTCAATACAAATACAGGTTCAGCTTGTTGCTTTGCAGTGCAGACAGTGGTTATTAGCCTAGGTCCACAATAGTGTCACTGCCTTATGCAGCTTTTTTTGTAAGAAAAGGAGACTGGGTTTTATACATAAAAATGCCCTAAAAACGCATGTACATGCACCAGACACATAATTTTGGTTCATTTTCATTGAAGTCTATAGGACCAAAATTCAGCTGCACCAGCACCAAACTAGTACCTCTACTTTTCCAAAAAATGCACTGCAGCTGTAATGCATTGATATAAATGAGCACCATAGAGAATAATGTAATTTCCATAGTTGTGCGGCGCTGTGCAACAGCAGCTGCATCTGAAATCGCACTAATGCTTACTGCACCTTCTCGTATCAGAAATCTATGTCAGGACAACTCATTAAAAAAAATGCACTTTCCCTGTGTGCCTGATTTCTTTTCTCAAAGTTTAAGTATGAGAAAATATGAATAGTGATGGTAACGGCCTCTAGTGGCTAATCTACAAATCTCTGCATGAACTACCATAACATTTCAAAGTTCAAGCCAACATAAAAGTTATATAAAAATTATTTGGTAAGCACTATAATAATGACTCATCTAAAATATACTCAAGGGAATTTACTAAGACTGGAGCAGCCAGAATCGCATGGCAACCAATCAGCTTCTATCTTTGATTTTCAAAGCTGAAGTTAGAAGATGATTGGTTGCCATGCACAGCTGCTCTAGATAAATTTCCCCCCACTATACTTTCCTTTTTCACATTTCTTTCTTTTATATTGCCAAACATCAAACCTATGACTTATTTTCAAATTGAAATGTTGACAGCCTCAGTTAAAATAAATGTAAAAACAGAGATGATTGACAGTATTATAGCTTGTTTGTGAATATGTAGAGCATGCAGAACATTCATTACCCCTCACTCCTAGCTTCCTCACATCTTGTGGCCTTATAAGGAACGTTGTAGGGGACATGAAGTTCTGCTTCCATAGACCATATACTGACCAAGTACTGTATCTCCTCTGTCTGCTCCTGGCTTGCCTGCAATTTGGATTAAAGTGCACCCGTGGGGAGCCTATAGCCATCAAACTATTTACATAGTTTACATACAGTCTTAGCAAGCAGTAAAAGAGCTTTAGGCTAGGTTCACATATATACAGGTTGTGGTTGATGCATTTTTCCACAGTGTTTTGCGGGTTTTGGCTAATGAAAAAACTCCTCAAAAATGTATTGATACGTTTTGGTTTTTTTTTGGCTAATAGGAAAGTGATAGTTTGGTTTATGTAGTGTAACTTAATGCGACTTTACACTCTCTGGCACGCAAGCAGCATCAAAGTAGTGCAGGAACCTTTATGTGTCCAAAGTCACATGTTAGGGTTAGGGTTAAGGGCTAGGGTTAGAGTTAAATGATAGGGTTAGAATTCTGGTTAGTGGTAATTGTTAGTGTTAGGGTTAAGGGCTAGGGTTAGCAGTAAATATTAGAGATTAGAGTGAGGGTTAGTGGTAATCCTTAGGTTTAGGGTTTGGCGGTAATTGTTTGGGTTAGTGGTAATTGTTAGGGTTAGCATTCTAACAATTTCTGCCAAACCTAACAATTACCGCCAAACCCTAGCAATTGCTGCTAACCCAAATAATTACCACCAAACCCTAACCCTAAGGATTACCACTAACCCTCACTCGAATCTCTAATATTTACTGCTAACCCTAACAATTGCTGCTAACCCTAACATTTAACCCTATCCCTAATATTTAACCCTTACCCTAACCTTAACATGCGACTTTAGACACATAACGGTTCCTGCACTACTTTGATGTGACTTTGATGCTACTTGAGTGCCAGAGAGTGTAAAGTCGCACCAAAGTCACACTACATTAAGAGAACTGTCATACTTTCCTATTAGCCAAAAAAAAATGCGACTGGACACAAAAAGGTTTCTGCACTACTTTGATGCTTCTTTGGTGACTTAGTTAGGGTTAATGGTAATTGCTAGTGTTAAGGTTAAGGGCCAGGGTTAGGGGTTAGCTGGGGTGGACTGACAACTCATGCGGCCCCCGGGCAATAGGGGATCATGGGGCCCCTGTGTCCTTGTCCAAACACAAAAAAACCTATGAAAAAGGTACCAGGGGCATCTAACGGGGCCCCCTACTGACCCTGGGCCCTCGGGCAGAGCCCGAGTTTCCAAATGGTCAGTCCGTCCCTGAGGGTTAGCGATAGATATTAGAGTTAGGGTTAGCGGTGATCCTTAGGGTTGGCGGTGATTGTTTGAGTTAGCAATAATTGTTAGAGTTAGAATTCTAACCCTAACGATTACCGCCAACCCTAATAATTACCGCTAACCCTAACTCTAACATTTAGCCCTAACCCTTAACCCTTGCATGCGACTTTGGACACATGAGAGTTTCTGCACTACTTTGATGCAAATGTGATGCTATTT